CACACACTTAAACATTGACATAACACAATAAAATTAATTAATTAGGTAATTAAGTTTAATATGCTGTTCAACACAACATGGAATTTCACACAACTTACAGTAATTCTTTACAGTTCACAAGTTCAAAATCAAAATGGAGTAAAAATTGCCCCGTAATGTTATGCAAGAGTTGATTTTCTTCTTGCTGCTCACCCTGAAAAGCAACACAATAATAACAGTTACAATATGACATTCAAATACCTAAACATGACATAAGTTTATATTGTTTCACTGTATCTAGGGAAGTGCACTCCCTTAATACAATCTTCTGACTTGGAAATGAGAGGAAATATCACAATAAGTACATTTGTGCTTTTCTGTGTGCAATACACATGAAGAGACCAACGTCTTATGTTTTATGATATATAAACAGAGGTTTCACTTCAGTGAAACACAGACCAACATTCAGCATTACAATAAATTATTTGTCTGAGACTAACCACCCAATTGTCTGTAAGGAAAAGCTGTGTTACAGTCCCTTTGAAGTCACATTAGTGAAACAACCACAGACTGTGGTTTGACAGGGGTGGGGCGTAGTTGGTTTTGGTTTTTTCTTTTTTTCCCCTTTCTTTAATTAAAAACAAACTATTAACACTAAAGATCAAAAGCAGTACATACAGAATCTTTTAGGCCAATTAAAAATTGCAACTAGTCAAAACAAGGCACTGAAAATTGATTTGTGTGGAGAGAACAGGAAGCTGTCCTACCAAGCAGGTTATATTTATCAGGCTTTTTTTTTTTTCCCTTTCCTTTTTTCTTTTAAATTTAACTTATACTTTCCTGCTTGCTGAGAAACTCCTCAGCTGTTCACCTTCGTCATGGTTAGTCTATAGCATGAACGGCTTGCTGGAGCTTCCCTGGAGATTGTTTATTTGCATTCCAAGGGAATTGCACTTTACAACTGCCTTGTCTGGTCAGTAATCACACAGCTTTTCAGAGAACACATTACTCAAGATGAAGAGAAGTTCTGCAACACAGAGTCTTACAAAGTCCCACAGCTATGAAGAAAGCTGTGCAGCAAAAATCATCACAAAAGGTGCTGCCAGGGCCAAATTAGGAGAGACAGGGATGGGCTGGAGCCTCCCACAAAGCTGGGGCTTCCCAACTCAACGTTTGTTACCTACTGCACGCTTCAGCCATCCTCTCTGAACTGCTGGGACACTTCTGACTATCTATTTTGTATTTGCACTGAATTGAGGAAAATAAAAAATACACAGTCCCGCTCTTCCCCCCCTCGGTGTCTCCCCGCGGCAACAACCGCTCAGAACCGGGCCGCTCCCAGGCGGAACACGGCGAGGGACTGCGGGACAGCCCCACACACCGCTCCGGACGGGGCAGCCACTCCCGCCTCACACCGCCCATGAGGGGAGAGGAGGAGCCATTCCCGCCTCACACTGCCCCTGACAGGAGGAGCCATTCCCGCCTCACACTGCCCCTGAAGGGAAGGAGCCATTCCCGCCTCACACCACCCCTGACAGGGGGAGCCATTCCCGCCTTACACCGCCCCTGACGGGAGGAGCCATTCCCGCCTCACACCGCCCCTCAGGGGAGAGGAGGAGCCATTCCCGCCTCACACCGCCCCTGACAGGAGGAGCCATTCCCCCCCTCACACTGCCCCTGAGGGAAGGAGCCATTCCCGCCTCACACCGCCCATCAGGGGAGAGGAGGAGCCATTCCCGCCTCACGCCGCCCCTGAGGGGAGGAGCCATTCCCGCCTCACACCGCCCCTGAGGGAAGAGGAGCCATTCCCGCCTCACACCGCCCATCAGGGGAGAGGAGGAGCCATTCCCGCCTCACACCGCCCATCAGGGGAGAGGAGGAGCCATTCCCGCCTCACACTGCCCCTGACAGGAGGAGCCATTCCTGCCTCACACTGCCCCTGAGGGAGGGAGCCATTCCCGCCTTACGCCGCTCCTAACTGAAGGGACCATTCCGGCCTCACACCGCTCCTGGGACAGACACAGACATCCACACAGACATTCCCGCCTCATGCCACCCCTGAGGGGACGCCAGCTCCTCTCTCTGCTCCGCAGGGCGAACAAGCGCACCTCACACCGCCCGAGAGGGGACGAGCCCTCACAGCGCCCCTGCGGGGTACGCCCGTTCCCCGCCGCCCTTCCCTCTCCCCCCACGCCCGTCTCCCGCTGCCCCGGCGGGGCGGTCGGTCGGTCTGTCGGTCGGTCTGTCGGTCCCTCATGCCGCACAGACCGGGATAAACAAGGGACATGTGACCGGCGGCGCGCGCTGATGGCGCGGGGATGACGTGAGGGGCCCGCCCCGGCTTTAAGGAAAAAATACAAAAAGAAAAGGATTTTAAGTGTTAAACCAGGGCAATGGCTCGAAACCTGTCCTGAGGGAGCAGCTAGTGGCGCTCAGGTAAAAACTGTTCTCAGCCCTTTGCTGAAGCTCAGAGGAAAAAATAACTCAGCATGGTTTGTTAAATATTTGTTTAATAACAAACTTATTACGTATGCACAAAAAAACCCCTACTGTTTTCCCAAGCAGCAATTTGCAGGATGAGTGTCCAAATACTGTGTGTTTATCTTACCTTCTGAAAGGCCAGATTCAAAGACAAAACTAGAATTTTGCTCTGAAGAGTAAAAGGTGTTTAAAATGCAGCCCACCTGTGAAAATGCTAAATCAGTGACACCAAGAGAAAGAAAATGCAGAGAGAATTTGCAATGCCTGTTGTCACAGGGTGTTCTAAGAGTGACATACACGAAACCTGCATTCCACCAGGTCCTTGGCACCTCCACACACTCCTGCTGACACAGCCTGCATTTTAAAATAAATAAAAACTCAGACCAGGTTAGCCAGCAATATTTGGATAATTTCATCTAAACAAGAGAGGGACAATCATACCTGCCAATTTTAAGGAAAGTGAAGCCAAGACCTGCACTCTGGCTGCACCTTGAGCAGCCTAATCCAAGTAATACCAAAGTAAAATTCCTCACGTTTATTGTTCACTGCTGAGGTTGGATGATTCATCACATTTAAATTCTTTCACATGAGCTTCCTAACTTCTTTTATCTGTTATTATCATATCTGAAGAGAATTAATAATTTTTATCTGAAAAAGAAACTGAATTATGTTGTGTGGTACCTAACATGCAATAAAACATGCAGAAAACATGAAGTAAAAAAAAAAAAAAAGGAACAGTCAAACCAAGAAGCTGAAGCATTTTTACTACAGAAAAATTGCATCTCTAACAATATATTTGTTTCATGTTTCCTATTTTACTTTCTCCCCCTCACCATCTGCCTCTGTTCTGCTTTTTTCTTTCAAAAAGCACCCACCTCATTTAGCTTCACTCACCCCATCACAGGATTCAGGCTGGATTAAAACAAAATCCCCAATGCCAAAGCCAAAAAAGCGCTACCTCTTCATAAAAGACTTATTCCATCATAAAGTTATTCCAAAAATAACTCTCCCTTTTCTACAGCAGCTGTAGATCTTTAAGAGAAGCAGTCCATCTTGCTACACACCCTCCAGGCAAAGGAACTCAAGGTTTTTGGTCCCTGGTGACTCTGGGTGGGACCTGTGCCTTCAGTGCTGCTCTTTTTGCCAAATCTTGCCCTGTTCTTTTGGTAGCCAGCACCGAATCCCACAAGAGTGAGATCCCGTAGTGAGGAGAGAGGTGAATTACAGAATGCAGCTCTTGAGCAAGAGCTACTCCTTCCATCGAGGAAGCAGCTCAGCAATGCCCAGGGGGATTTGCTGTTCTGTGCAGCAGAGTCCCGCTGCTTTGCTTATGAAAGTAAAAGCATTTTGGGGAGACAGTCCTCAGAAGGAAATAGTGAGAAATAGATGGAGAATGCCCATCTTTGGCGTGGTCAGGAGAGCCTGGCAGTGCCAGAGCCTGCGCTGTGCTGCGTGCAAAGCAAAGGACACTGAGGGGAAGATGAAATACAAAAGGTGCTAACCTGAGGCAGCACCATAATGAGTCTGGAGGCAAGTCCCTGTGGGACAAACGCTCTCATTTGTGAGACAATTCCCTGCAGCAGCCATAGTGAATTTGTACTGCAGTCAGTGCACGGACTCAGGAAAACTTCTGGGCCCAGCTGGGTACGGCCCTGGGCCTCTGGGTGTGGGGAGAGCGTGTTCTGTGCGGGGCAGCGAGGAGGCACGGGGGCAGCAGGAAGGAGTAAGGGACCCAGTGTTATCCCAGCTGTGTCTCTGGGGGTCCTGGGAGCTGCTGGGGTGCCAGAGGGAGCTCACAGAATCTGTTAAATCCTTCAAAAAACGTCTGAGATGATCATGTCCAACCTGTGACCAAACGCCACCTGGTTGGCAACCAGAGCACGGCACTGAGTACAATGTCTAGCTGTTTGTCTCTTAAACACCTCCAGGGATGGTGACTCCACCCTGGGCAGCCCATTCTGATGTTTAATTACCCTTTTCATTAAGAAAATCTTCCTGATGTGCACCCTAAACCTCCCCTGTTGCCGCTCCAGGCCGTTTCCTCTCCCTTGACCTTCACCTGCCATGGAGCGTGTGCTCAGCCCCAAAATTCCACTTCCAGGCCTGGAAGGCTGGATGAGAGGGAGGAAAAAATATGGAACGCTTCACGAATTTGCGTGTCATCCTTGCGCAGGGGCCATGCTAATCTTCTCTGTATCGTTCCAATTTTAGTATATGTGCTGCCGAAGCGAGCACGAATCTCACCGCCTACCCGCCCCTATTTGTACCCCCAGGATTCGCGCTCCGAAAGGTCAGGGTGACCCGTTGGGACAAACTGGCAGTGCCGGTGGAAAAAGCAGCACCCGTGCACGGCACCCCGACTTGACTGCGGGTCTGGCGGGCAGGAAACGGCGGAAAACGGGGGAACAGACCCCAAATTCTGTCTAATCGGGGTTATGCAAATAGCCCTGCTGTATGCAAATACGCGCAAAGCACTCTGGGGCGGGGCGGTGCCGGCGCTCCTCACGGGGCCGTTCTGTATCAATAACCCCCGGCGGGCTTCAGAGTCACGTTTTGCAGGGGCAGCTGAAAATGTGACACTTTCTGCGGTGGCACATCGGTGGTTTGGACCTAAATTAGTTCGTATTGTTGACCTGTGGCGATAGCGGGTGGCTGAAGCCATTCTCGTTCCGCAGAATCACAGAATCGCTCGGGTTGGAAGGTCCGACTGGAGATCAGAGCCCCCTGCCAAGGCAGGTGACACGCGGCAGGTGACACAGGAACGCGTCCAGGTGGGTTTGAATGTCTGCAGAGAGAGAGAGAGAAAGACACTCCGCCGCTGCCTGGGCAGCCGTGCCGCCGCTCTGCCGCCCTCAGTGTGAGGAGCCTCTTCCTCCTTCTGAGGCGAAACTCCTTGTGTTTAAGTTTGTGACCATTCCTCCTGATGTATTTGGAGGGAACCTCCGGAGCGGGCAGCTGTGGCGGGACCGCGTGGCCGCAGGGCGGGCAGGGAACGGGTCCGGGTTGAGCCGGGCGGGGCGGAGCGGAGCGCAGCGCGCTGCCCGTTCTAATTGCGGACGGGAGGAGCTGTTGGTATGAGCAGCAGAGTGGCGCAGCGGAAGCGTGCTGGGCCCATAACCCAGAGGTCGATGGATCGAAACCATCCTCTGCTAGCACAGTTTTGATTTTTCCACCTCCTCTCTCTCTGGTGGTTGTTTTTGTTTGTGGGGGACAGGGGTGTGGCTGGTGCGAGGACAGTTGTTTTTTGCTGAAATCTTGACGACATGCTATACAGCTGACGAGAGTGAAGGACCGCCAGAGCGCTGGGATGCCTACACCTTTTTAAAATTGCCATTTGAAGGTCCCGTGGAATCACAGGATGGTTTTGGGTTCGAAGGGACCCTTAAAGGCCATTTAGTCCCACCCCCTGCCATGATTCGGGATACACAAGCTGCTCAGAGCCCCGTCCAGCCTGGCTGTGAATGTTTCCAAGGATGGGGCATCTGCCACCTCTCTGGGCTCAGCACCCTTGTGGTGCAGAGTTTCTTCTTTATCTTTCATAGGAAAGCTCCCTTACACACTGAAAGGTCCCAAGGCCCCCCAGGAGCCTTCTCTGCTCCAAGATGAACAGCCCCAGCTGTATCAGCCTTTCTTCATAGAAGAAGTGCTCCTCTGAGCAGCTTCATGCCTTCGTCTGGACCTGCTCCAGGAGATCCTTGTCTTAATTAGGCACCAAAAGCTCATTGCACACATTTGTAGTTTTTCCCTGGAGTAAATGAAACATTGTGGCAATGGCAAACATAGCAAGCAGACTCTCAGCACAAAATGCAGGAAAGCGAAATAAAAACACAAATGTGAAGACATAAAAGTCAACACGTGTGGTATTGAAAGTCTGTATTTGGCCTCTGGATTACACGATCTGAGGAAAAGGCTCTGTGAACGTGATAAATAAACAGTGGAATTGTCACATGGAACGAGTACGGGGGGAATACATGGAAGAAGGACAAGGCAGGGCTCTTCTCACAGAGCCGTGGAAATGGTGGAATTCTCTTTCCCTGGGTTTGGCTCAGTAGGCGCGGCTCGGGGGGCCGCATTGTGTGGTTCCATGGTGTAATGGTTAGCACTCTGGACTCTGAATCCAGCGATCCGAGTTCAAATCTCGGTGGAACCTGAACGTTTTTGCCACCAACACGTTTCTTTCCTGCTCAGAACCATGGAAAGTGACTTCAAGGCGTTTTTCATGGAATGTTAGAACGCCATAAACATCTCATACCTCCTGGAATACGTATCTAAATGAGAAGGGTATTCAATCAGAGAGTTTTCCTGTGTTTTCCCCACCACATCTATTATTTATTGCAGCCACATTAGTACTTTCTTACAAATTATCTGAAGAACCTCACACATGTCACTGCATATTGTTTCTTTTTCTGTGCTTTGAATCTCCTGTATTTCCACACAGTTCTGAATTGTGCATCAGCAGAGCTGGTGGCAGCTGCTGGGCTCGGCAGGGATGAGCTTTTGGGGTGTCTGACAGCAGATGTCCCCAGTGGCCGTGTTTGCTTTCTGCCCTCCTTCCACCGGGGGTGACCTCGTTGTGGTGCCCAGAGGAGAGCTGGAGAGGGATCTGGGACCAGGGATGGAGTGACAGGACACGAGGGATGGCTTCACTCCGCCAGAGGGAGGATTAGATGGGAAACTGGGGAGGAATTCTTCCCTGTGAGGGTGGCACGGCCCTGGCACAGGGTGCCCAGAGGAACTCGATGCTCCAGCACTGGCAGCATTTTGGCCAGGTTGGATGGGGCTTGGAGCAAGCTGGGATGGTGGAAGGTGGCCCTGGATCATCTTTAAGGTTCCTTCCAACCCAAACCATTCCGCGATTCTGGGAGGGCAACAAATATCACAGAAACTCGGAACAAACATGAATATTCAGGCTGTGTTAGGTTCCCGTGGGGCACCCGGCACAAGGGCAGAACGAGCAGCGATTTCCCAAAACAAAAGCAGGATTTTTTTTCGCTGTGGATTAATTGTGGGGGCCGGCGGAGGAGAGAGGCACCGCCCGGTTCTATGGTGTAATGGTCAGCACTCTGGACTTTGAATCCAGCGATCCGAGTTCAAATCTCGGTAGAACCTCCCCAGGTCTCAGTTTTTGTGCCTCAGAGCCCAGCAGGGACAGACCGGATCGCGCTGGAGCTCCAGCCCTGCTGTCCCCGACCCAGCTCTCACTCTTCTCCATTTTCTTCAATGCAACGAAATTAATTACACAAGACTTCATATCATTCTTGCTACTTTTTAATTAGGTGTTTAGTTGTATTTCACTGCTGTTTTACATTAAGTACTTTTGGGGGGAGGCACACTGTGGAAAATTACATCAGGCAGATGTGCAGAATTTGGATGTTATTTTTCAGATGCACCCAACTGCTCACTTGGAAAATAAGGGCAGAAACGCAGTGTTTTGGGATAAACTGCACAATTTAAATGGATATTCCCTCTGCTTCGCTGCCACAAACCCTCAGTAGCTACTTTCATTTCCAGAGCAGCTAAGGACATCTTACACCTTGGCTCCCCTCCTCCAATCCTGTCCTAGTCACTTGTTGACACAGCAACAGGAACAAGCCTGCTCTGATCAACAGCTCCTCCTCTGGCCAGGTAACCTTTGAAAAAACACACAGAACACCTTCAAATCAAATTGTTATTTAGCAAAAATCCAGATCCCAACTGCTCAAGGGAACATATGGAAATGTTTGCTCAATTCATTAAATTTTCACACAACCTAGTGATGAAGAAAATCAATGTATTAACTGACAATTCTAGAGAGTAAATTACCATTCCTACAGCAATCTGCAACCTCCTCCTTCCATTTGGCAGAGTTTGGGGTGCAGCTGTAATCCAAAAGCCCCATCAAGTGCTGACACAGTACTGGTGCCACAGATGGGCCCAGGCAAATCCAGGTGTACCTAAAGGGTTAAACTTCTACATCATGGAATGACACAGAAGCAGTGCAGAATTGAGTACTGAGATTTATTCACAATTCATGGCCACGCTGCACTGGAAAACAAAGCACCAAAATCTGGGTAACTGAACACCATCCAGCTATAATCCTGCATTTGGATATCTGCACTCCTCTGGGGGACAGCAATAGAAATTATTATGGAATCAGGGAATCCAATGAAGGAATTAAATAGTGCTGTAATTTCAGAAGTGTGGCTACAAACACATATTGTCAACATTAATGGACTTTCCAACTGCAGATTCAAAAGCCAGAATCAAACCTTAGGCAAGTATTTCACTATATATGAAGCTGCAACAAGGTTTTCTGATATATGTTAAAATTTCAATGAAAGCAGGGTAAAGGGGGAAAGATAAAAAGGAAAGAAAAGTTCTATCCTGTAAAACTGGCACTTTAAAGAAAAGGCCTTTAAAAAAACTAAAATATTTTACTCCAAAAGTCTTAAAAAACAAAAGCTGACCCAAAGAAAAGAAACCCAAAAAGACAACTCTCAGTTACTCAGGTCACTAATGATAATACATTCTGTGTAGCCACTTGTCATGGTTTTGCACAGGAGACATTCAGGGAAGTGATGGAAATGTTTGTTATGCAAAACCATAACACCACTACAAGCTCAGTAAGATCCTTCCTTTAAATTCCTTTAAAAAAGAATTCTGCAGCAGACAAATCAACAGCTCTGCACTGTGACTGCCTCAATTGGTTAAAACACTTGACCAGATGGAAGAAATGGATCCAGCTGAAGCAGGTTATTTGGACACTGAGCCAGCCATTCCCCTTGCAGTGGGAGCAGAACAGATGATTCCACCCAGTGCCCAGCCCATTCCTGGCTCCCCAGCAGCACAGGCAGTGAGGCAGGCACTGGCCAAAGTGCCACCAGCCTGGGAGCATCCATCACCTTGCACACACAGCCCAGGACTCTGCTTTCACAACAGCAAGGCAGCTCCTGGGCAGGTTACTGCAGACTTCCTCAGAAAAGCAAACTGGTTTTGTACCATTTCACACATAAAAAAATGAGCACACTGTACAAAGAGCAGCAGAGATATAATTTAAACATGCATCCAGCTACAAACCATATATACAGAGAAACAGGCCTATACAAACAGAACAGGACCACTTTATTACATGACAGTTCTGGTGGAGCTCTTGGAGGAAATCACAGATGAACAAACGAGACCGAAGGAGGTGGATGTTGCTCCTGGAAGTAATCTGGTTTGAAATGTCACACCACACCCCCACCTTTCCCCAGCACACATCTATCACAGTTCCAGCACACACAGCTCTTCCCACCACTCTGGACTCCCTCCCTGTACAGAGGTAGATTTCTGTCGATGTTCTGATATTGCACCATGGCAAGTATGGTTCTTATCACAAGGAACACCCTGCAAAGGCTAATTCATGTAATTCATGGGCATAATCTCATTGTGGGCATTCAGGTAGTGCAGTAAATCAAATTCATTCAGAAAACCTCCCTCCCAGTGCAGTGGTTTGTTATTTAGGTGCAGGTCCAATGGAAAGCTGCAGTGTTTAACAGCTTCACATGAAGAGAGCTGTTTCTTGTCAGCAGGGTGACACTTCTCTGTCTCTCTCCTTTTCAGCCTCCCTGCTCTAGCCAATGCCAGCTCTTGCCTCCCCTCCCCTGATGCTTCATCCCATTCCACTGTCCAGGTTAAATGTGCATTTTAAACACTCACAGGTTTTTGCAGGATTTCTTACTCATACAAGCAGTTGTAATATTGAAAATTTGCACAATTTGCAAAGAAGATTGATTCAAACTGCACGAAATGATTAAAAGAGCCCATTCACACTCAGGTGCATAAGGAAAGCTAGAACTTTGCTAGCTTCAAACAGCCATTAATTGTGAACAGATCTGATGCTATCAGGAAAATGTGAAGTCTGGCAGGAGTCTTAATTTCTTTTGTCCATCACATTCTTGAATAAATCTCTGACAAGTGGGGAAGCTGCAGACAAGCTGAATGGCAGTACCACTTCACAATGGCTGTTAAATGAACCTCTATAGCATATTTATAAAAATAAGTGCATCAAAAATCATGATGCCAACATATTGTAACTCTGATGAGCTCACAAGCATTGCTCAGTATTTTTTCTCAGAGGCACCCCAGGAAGTTATTTTTTGCAGAAGTCTTTCAACATGGAGACAAATGAAAGAACAATCTGGGCATGTTCCACTCTCAGAGAAGCCAAAGCATGCAGCACCACTGCTTCTGGCTGCAAACTTAGAAAAGTTACCTGGGAAGAAAGTTCTCTTTTTGTACCAACCAACCAATTTGGAACTATTTTAAATGAACCATTTAGCATTGGCTTCCCAGATTGAGTTGCTGTGAAGCATTGTGACACTGCATCAGTAAGAAATGATGCCTAGTTTGGAACTATTTTTTGCTGAATTATGGATACAAGGCTTATAAAAATTCATTGCATCTCTCCATATACTCACTTGTCCTTTAAAAGGGCTTTTTCCTTACCAAGGCAAGCAAATCCCAAATGACTTCACACCAACTGCATCAACACTGAAATTCCTGTGTTGACAGGGACTGCAGACCTAGAAGTAAAATCATCTCATCTCCTCTTGGAGGAGCCCCTTTCGTGAACCTTCACTTCAGGGAGAAACTTGATCAGGAATTCCACTCCCTGTCCCTGGCAGAAAGGGCTTATGTACCTTGCAAGATTTTAAAATGCAGAAATCCTCTGTATGCAGGAAATGACAAACAGTACAAGTGAAATGACAGTGGCAGGAACCAGGGCTTTTGGAGACTTGTCTGGTTTAGCAAAGCAATGTTTCTTCCCAAAACAACCCCAGCTGGGCAGAGCTCAGTGCACAGAGGTCCCAGAGCTGCCCTGCAGCCCCAGTTACCATCTGCAGTGTTACCATTTGATGTCCAAGCTGCTGGTGCTCTGATTTACTGCACTGTAGGTGGTGTGCAGAGTGTCCTGGACCTTGGTGGAGTCCATGCCCTCCAGCCAGTCCTGGTACATCCTCTGCACGTGCAGGTTGGTTTCTGGCAGCCTGACAGGAATTGCAGTGTACACCTCTTCCATCTGGGCAAGCAGGGCTCTGTCTGGTTTGCCATCCTCAGTCTGGGCCTGGCCCTTTCCATTGAGGCACCCTGAGGGGAAAAAAAATTAATAAGATGGAAGGTGATGGAGATTTGATATGAAAAGAAAGTCTCTGTTAAATCAGAATTCTTTTTTCACACTTCTCTAAAGGAAGGGTTTTTTTTAAGCTTCTTCCCACGCTGTTACAATTTGTATTTACCTAAAGTGACTCCAATATCAACTTCATCTTAATGGAAATGAGGTTTCCATATCACAAATCTTTCTCTGCATTCTCCATGGTTTTGTGATCCTAATTATGTTCCTTGTCTTTTCTTGCCCTTGACAACCACCATTTCAGAGCATCCTCTGAGGTTTGGCAGTGCAGTGCTGGCACTTATTTATAGGTCAGAAGAGAACAAATAACACTGTACTAATTTTAGAAAACTCAATCATTTTCTGAGCCAACCCTGCACCTGTGATTGGTGTTTTGGACCCTTCAATAAACAGTGAGATTTTAGATTATTAAGAAGAGAATTAGGGAATGAAAGGAAGTGCCTGCCTGTAAGACAGCTTTCCTTTGAGATCCCAGATACACGTGCAGAACAACTGTGGACACACAATTATTTTTACCTCCTGGGCAGGCAAGGACTTCTACAAAATGGTAGAAAAACTTTCCTTTTTTCAACTTCAGGACCATGTTTTGGATATTTCTGAAGCCATAAGCTGCTGCAAAACGCAGCACTGTCTCCCCATCCTTTTCAAGGGTAACTTCTTGAAAGTCCTTGTTCCTGTCAAGACACAGAGAGAACATCTTAACCCCCTGCACTCCCAGAGGAACAATCCAACTGTGCCAGTTTGTACTCAGATGCTCCAAAGGGAGCACAACAAGTGTAACAGTGAGATCAAAGTGAACTCTTCCATTTTCTAAACTGAGTTAAGCAGAAATTGGGGTGGAATCTTCGTAATAGAATTCTACTTAATTTTTAGGTGCAGGTAAGGTTTTAATGAAACGAGCACCAGCAGGAGCTGCTTTAGAGTGAGAGCCTGCAGGTTCAGAGCAGGTTGAGAGCCTGGAACTGCCTCAGACCAGGTCAGCACCAACTGCTGCCACTGCAGCACACCCAAAGCAGGGAAGTTCCTGGGCTGCAGGAGCCAGTTCCTTGCTGCCCCAAGGCTCTCAGTGCCTAAGGGACATCTGGACAAAACCCTCAATAATATGTTTTAACTTTTGGCCAAAGTGCTCAGGCAGTTGGACCAAGTGACTGCTGTGGGTCCCTTCCAGCTGGAAATACCCTCTTCTGTTCCAGCTCACCCATTCTGGGTAACAAGGACACAAAACTCAAACTTACTTTAGTGCTTTGTAGGTGATCTCCTTGACGTCCACGCCAAAAAGCTCCTTTGCAGCATGTTTAAAAATGTGCTCCAGGTAACCATCAGATCTCTTCCCTTCGTGCCTCACGACATCTCCCTCCTTTAAGTCATCAAACCTTAGGGAACAACAAAATGGAAGGTCAGCTCCAAAGATTTCATTCTTTCACTTCAATAAAGTAGCGTGTTTCTCCTCTTCTCTGTCTCCCCCACCAAAAAATGTTTTGTAGCACTGAGAACATATTACAGTTTTATTTATTACAGCTTGAAAATGTAAATTATTCAGGAGAGCAGTGAGATGATGAAAAAATCAATTAACAAAAAAGATGCAGGGCTTTCCATGTTGAGAAATAGCAAGCAAGAGTAATTTATAAGAATGTACCTTCATCACAATCTGAAGATTTTGTTAACAACCTTTTACTGCTCAAGAGCCATTTTGGGAAAAAAATTATTTAAATAAAATGATTTAAACAAATGGTCATTTTTTGTCTGTGAGAATACAAAACTACTTCAGATGTTACAAGTCTTTGCTGCCAGTTCTCCTGCTTTAGGAACTTTTGTCACAGTCTGTAACACTGTGCCAATAAAATCACACCAAATTAGCAGAGCTGCAACCAGGTTAGAACAGTGTACACTGCAAATAAGTGCTACACTGTGGGTCAGGAGAGAAACTGGGAGCTCACATCCCACGGGCATCCCCTGGAAGTTCACCTCTCCCCCAGTTAAAGCAGCTCTGCAGAGCCCACAGCCACACAATGCTTTAATACCCAGCATTTATCACAAATTGCTGCTGTGCTGGGGCCTGTTTTAAGAGCATGATTTCAAGATGTTTCAATTTCTCTGCACAATCTACTTTGAAGACCCCAGAAGAGCAAGAATTTACGTCATTAGATCTCAGAGTTGAACCAGTATTTTCAGATTGGTCCTTTTAAAAATTAACATTATTTTCCAACATAAATTGAGGGCACTTGGCTTGTTCAGCCTGGAGGAGACTGAGGTCAGACCTGACCAGGATCTGCAGCAGCTCCTGAGGGACAGCTCTGGTCTCTGCTCTGTGACAGAAGCCAGGGAACGGCTGGAGCTGGGCCAGGGAGGTTTGGGTTGGATACAGGGAAAGGTTCTTCCCCTGAGGGTGCTGGCACTGCCCAGGCTCCCCAGGGATGCCCAGGGTGGGGTTGTTGGGGGTCTGGGCAGGGCCAGGGGCTGCACTGGGTGATCCTTGTGCCTCCATCCAGCTCAGGATATTCCAGGATTCTCTAAATTGAGCTGCACATTCTGAGTAACAGCTTGTCCTTTCACTGCTCAGGCTGATACAGGATTAAAAGCTTGGCTCTTTGTGATTCTGATACAGAATTACATGACTCTCTGATTATTCCTACAGGAATTTTATTCATTCTCATTCTGTGTGACAGTCTCAGGTAGAAGCAATCAAAGGAGCTGCTCTACAAACACAGCTCTGAAAAATATTCCCACTGACCCACTCAAACTTCTCCCCTCCAGGTCCAAGCAGGATTCCAGCTGGAACTGAGAAGGATTTTTCAAAACTTCCAGAGCTTTCTGTTTTGTGCAAGACAGCACGTTTATTGCTCCACCAGCAGCCCTCTGGAAAGATCCCAAGGAACATCTGCCACAGCTGAACAAAGATCAGGGAGAGCAGCCTCTGGAACCCAGTCTGAGAATGAAACAGCACACAGGCTGCTCCCTGAGCCAAGCACAAGGGAGGGAACAAAACCTCTCCAGTGCTTTGTGTGCTCCTCATCTAAGCACACTTCAGTGATCTAATCTTGAAAAACTGACTGCTGTCCTCAGTATAAAAACCAATTAATTCCCATTTCCTCAAAGGGTGCTGCTTCCATGAACATATTGGGGAGTGGGAATTGACTGCCAGGATGTGAAGAGAGGGGAGCCCAGAGCAGATGTCAGCCCCAGCACTGTGCCAGCACTTGCTGGGAGGCACTGGACAGGGCAGCTCAGGCTCACAGGGGCCCAGCAGAGCTCTGAACAAGCCCCAGACACTGACTAGCAAGGCTTGAACTTCATACAGACACACCTATTATTACTGCAAATAATCAGTATTTATCAATAAATAAATAAATAAAATAAATATTAAATAATTCTTAAATATCAATCAGGAGGTACACAAATCTTCTAGTCACAAATTATAAAAGAGTTACTGTATAAGCATCATTACCTCAAATTATCTGCTTTGTATTTAGACAGTACATGCAAATTTATATTATCTGTTTCATATTACTTTTATATATAGCAAGAACATCTAAGAGAATATTTTTGTGGATTTGGCCACTACATAAGGGTGAAGCTGTGGTATACTCAGGCTTTGATGCAGGTTTTTTTCTCTAAAAAGAAAAACATTCTTCTGAGCAGTTTTACATTTATGTTGTGTGGGAAATGGGTTTACAGAAAATTCTCAAAGGTTGACAGAAAACTCACATAGTGTACAGCTGCATGCAAACCTTAAAGTAAGAAATACTGACTTAAAAATATCTAGAATAAACTATTAAGAAAGAAATTGAACTAAAAAAATTTTTCAAAAGATGACCTTACAAATAAGACTAGATACATTAGAGAAATAAAACTATAAAAAATACACTGTAGTAAGACCCACGAGGAGTAATTTTAGATATTGTACACCTGTATCCAAACCTTAAAGTAAAATACTGACTTAAAATATCACAGAATAAACTAGACATTGTTAAGAAAGAAATTGAACTAAAAACAAGTTTCAAAAGATGACCTTACAAATAAGACTAGATACATTAGAGAAATAAAACTATAAAAAATACACTGTAGTAAGACCCACGAGGAGTAATTTTAGATAACTGACTTTAAGACATTTACAACATATTGTAGCTAAAACTGATAAACCAAGAAATGCTTACAGTGTATTATAATTAAGAAATAGATTGTGATGGTGTGAATTATAACATCTGCATTGTCTCACCCTTCTCGTGAGATTAAAAACAGAAGAAAAATTTTTAAAATGCCTCTCAGCTGCCCCAAATCTAAGTCAAAAAAGAGCTTTATCCAACAATGCTGAATATGCTCCAGCATGTCCTTTGTCATCCAAACAAAACACAACAAAACTACTTACAAACTATCCACAGCTACTTCAGTCACATCTTCCATTGACACATTTTTCTGTTCCATTATTTGCACAATTTCACCTGCAGGAGAACACAAGACATTTCACTTTCATCACCAAACTGTGCCTGTTCCAGAGACCAACCCCCAACACCTGCAGGTGCTTTGTGGCACATTGCCCAGCTCCTCCTGCAGGGACTGAGAAGTCTTTGACACTTCCTGCCCCACAGAAAAGGAGCCTTCAGCTTCCCAAACTCTGCTTAGATCCTCAGCCTTTGTGTTAGGCCAAGTCTGGAATATCCAAACTGCACTGCAGGATGCTTGGACACTAAGGCTAAAGACAAAATCTTCACCAGAAGGCAACTGGTGCTATGAATGAGGAATAATTCCTAATAAAATAATGACCATAGACAAGCCAGACAATTGTTTAAAATATGGATTTGCATAACTTTTACCTTCTTTAACAGGCTGTCAAAATACCTGATTTTTTAGATGAATAGCAACTTAGAAGGAAAGGATGTGTCACTCTGCCTTTCCTGTGCAGTACCTGTAATACCAGGAGCACAAAAATATGTACTCATTTTTAAAGCAGAAAAAAGCCAACCTCATGACTAAAGCAGACTTGAAAAAAGCAAAGTCTGGCATAAAGGCTGTTCTAAAAATGGTGATTCACTTATACATTTATAGGTGGCAAGTTTAAAAAAGTTCACCTGATGTCAGGACACAATCAACTTCTGCTGAATTATACAAGGCATTGTAGAAATCTTCCCTCAAGGCTTCCAGCTTTTTGTCATAACAAGGTGCCACGACTACATGGAAAATTTTATCAGGAGACAAGTTCTGTGGAGTACAGGAGGGAGCACAAGTGAACTCCATGTAGAGCAAAAGACAGCTTGAAGGATGACAGGGACAAAAATAGTGACATAAACCTGATGCAGGCAATACCAGGAATAAGCCCCTACAATAAATCTGAACAATGTTCACACAGGCAATGATTTGCCAGAAAGCATCAGCAACAAACTTCCAAAGTCAGTCTCCTGGCTGGACCAAATTCCCTCAGGCCACGTTTTCTGCAGCTTTTTGACTGCCTTAGAAAGTGAATAAAAGTCAGGAGTTCAGAGTTCTGGTTTCTGGCTGTCACCCACTCCTTTCACCCACAGAAGCCCTTCAGAGTTTGTCTGTCCATGTGCAGCAACGCACATGGACAGACAAAAATTGCTGTTCTTTACCTACAGACAAAAATTGCTGGTTTTTACCTACCACACCTAAAAGGAGCCTGTGGCTCCTTTTAGGTATGGTAGGTAAAGAACAGCAATTTTTTCAACATACAAAACTGAGGAGATAAAAAGGTTAGTTCTAAGGACACAATGCTTCTATTGAGCTCATGTAACAGGGCAATTTCCACATTATTCTCCTCCACTCCTGTTGTGGCTGTGCTGTAGAGCTACACAGGCAGCATTTCACACAAAAACCCTTTAACTGCTATGGATTTAACTTTAGCCAAAAATATCTAAATCCATGTTGCACTGGGGGTGCAAGGACTGCTGCCAGCTCACACTGCACTGCATGAAGTGAGGTGCTTTGTACATTCTTCTCATCATGGGCACTTGTACAGCACAAAGCACCATTTCTTCTTCAAGTAAAGGACAAATATCATACACTAAGATCTGTATCTCAGTATTAAAGCCTATCTTCTCTATTTAGAAGAATATAAAGGTAAAAATAAATCAGAATGACTTACCTGCTGCCTGGCAAAGTAGCCCTTCACCAGGGAGCCCATGATCTGCTGAGGAGACTTTGCAGTGCAGATGTGAGGGGTCACCAGGTTGGTGAGAACCCTTTCAGCATAACGGATCCAACCTGGAGCCACCAGAAAATCACACAGGAGAGAGCCATGAGCACAGCAAGTGGCAGCAGCCACACAACACATCCTGAAAGTGAGGACACCTTCACAGCAGGGAGGACAGGTCTGTGCAGGCTGGAAGCCTCACCCTGGGAGCCACAGGAAACCTCAGGGCTCTGTTCATAATGCTTTAGGCAATAATTCACTGTGCCATGAATGCTAGAGCAAGGTCCACTGTGAACTTCATGACCTGTTACCCCTTCCTCATGCACAGATTTAACAAAGCAGAAAGAACAAGACCCCAGCTAACTGAAATTTGACCTTCTAGACCTCAGCCTCATTCTACAACAAATGCACTCTCTGGCTGCTTAACTGCAACCTGGTGTTTCCTGAGATTTAATATCAGAAGAGTCACATGAAAGCATTATTGCAAGAGGCACATGGATTAAGCCTGGAAAAAAAGTGGCTTTTTTTACTATAGTTGTAGTAGCCACACCTTCAGAAACACCCCCACACTCACAGGAAGCACCTGAAATCTCTCAGTATGCAACACTCTGTCCTTAGTTCCTCAGGAACCCCCTCTCTCACCAGACCCCTTCAGCATTCCAGCTGGGGATACCCACAGCACCCCAACATCCAGAGCTGATGTATTATTCCCTAGTGAATGAACAAATCAAGGTATTTAGGACATGCAGTTCTTTTTTGGGCTCTGTAGCTCTTAATGAAAAGCCCAGAATCCTTCACAGCAAGGGTTTGGAGCTTTTTTCACCTACATTGTGCAGCAGAGTTAGGTTCAGCCCTCAAGGCAGGTGTGTTGCTTTTAGTGCTAAGAAATGGTAAAAAAAAAAATCACGTTTTGTCTTCATGCAGATTAGTGATTACATAAAAGAGAGAAACTGCTGTGCAGTACACACTGCCCAGGAAGGGGAAAGCCTGGAGGTTAACTTTTAACCTTGAAATTAGCACTCATGTAAAAACACCTGGTGCTGTTTCAGTTAGAACAATACCACAAATGCCAACAGCAGCACAAAACTGGGATGCAAAGCAGTGTTCAGATGATTTGCCTTTCTGTAGCAGAGAAATAATTTTCCCAGTGTAATAAGACTTTACTGATGAAAATGAGAAGGTGCTAAGTATTGGGGAAACCCAAGGATCCTCCAGCTGTTTAAATATTCCCAGTTCTTGTTATGCACACACTTCAAGCTGGTTTCCATAGAAAACCTCAAAGGCACACATCATCTTCAACAAGCATTCACTTCTGCTGTAGGAAAAGCTGAGCACCATGGATTTATCTATTAGGACTGTACTGAATTGCAAGACTGAACTGGAAGTTTGCCTAATATCCACCTTCAGCTGGGACTTTAAATCCAAGACATTACCTACAAAAAAGCTGAATTTATTGGTGCTTGGTAAAAATCTGTATTAGCAACTTCTCCATGATAGGTGGAACTTATTGCTTAAATGGCTTTAGTCTCTATTCTGTCCAAATAGAACAAAAACTGCTTCAAACAAAACAAGGACAGTTTTTAAAATACTTCTACTCACCATTAATCACCCAGCACTCCTGCTACGAGGCTGGTTCATATAATTGGAATATTTTTGATATTGTAGTCATGACCTATAAGGAAATTTCACTAAATCCCAGGAGATTTCTGACAGGTATTGTCTGAAGCAATTCCTTAAATTGTTTCTGTCCTTGCAGTGGATGAGCAAGTGTCTTACAGCTGCAGCTCCCACAGATCATTAGTCTCATTAGTCACTGGTTAATTGTATAGGCAGCCTGGGTGAGTGAGCATTCATCTGCACTGTCTGTGCCCCCTCAGCACGGGGCTGAGCTGCAGGGAGAACCTCAGACACCCCATCCTAGGTCAGGGCACACCAGCACTCATCCAGACCCACACCCTTCATAAATTCATTTACTGGTTTGTGTTGCCATGAAAGAGCAAGAAAGCATTACAAATTACCATATCAATTCCTGCAGTTGTAGCTCAGAACTTTATTTTTGGTGGTTTCTTGTGAGATCATGAAGATGCATGTATGCATCTGCAGGAAATGCAAAAAAAACCTAAGCAAACTTTTGCTACTGTAAAACCCCATTCCTGGAAAAGGAAACTGACTGGGACAAAAGCATCAGAATCCTCAGTATTTATTATCTTCCTGCTGCAAGTCTGCCCCACTGGCTTTTCTGGGAGGACACAGAGGCTGGCAGTGCCTTAAAACCACCAGATTTTCCAGAGCAAATACTTCATGTTCCTCACCAGTACATTAAGTACATTAGTACTTCATGTACATTAAGGAAGGGAATGATTCTTTTGAGATATCACATATACTATCAGCAGTAACACTACTGTTCTTTCAACAGGAAACCCAAAACTGAGCTCACTTTCTGCCCAGAGAGCAGCAGGAGGTGAACAATTCAGACAGGGACAAGGGAACAGCTTTTCTCAGGCTCTGGACTATTCATCTCTGCTCTTTGCCCACGGCAGATGTCACACCCCAGCCTGCTGCAGAGGGTGATAGGTCTGTGCAAAGTCACACACCAAGATAAAAAAGGGTAAAGCATTTCTGCTTGAGGTCACATTGACCTTGCACCTACGGAGCTATATAAAAACCATTTTGTGCTAAATACACCCAGTAAACAACAATTCTGGGACAAATTTATGTCATGTGGGGGTAGAAAGAGGAAGGAGAAAAATGAACAGAAAATGCACACAGACAAATAAGGACAGGAAGCACAGTGAACAACCTCACTTGTACAATGACTAATCAGGATTTTTGCTTTCTCTAATTGCTGACAAAGAAACATATCATGTTTTCAAAATGGATTTACAGTGATATTCTGGGTCAGTTTCCCAGAAATGGAAAGCACCCATGCTTCTGTTACCACCTCTATCACAGTAGGGAGCTGACACCAAAACCAGCACTGACACCAAAACCTGTCTCGTGCAGACCACACAAGGACAAGGAAAGTGCTCCAGTAACTATTTTAAAGTATTTCCACTGAGAGCAGCAGATCATCTGAGCTGTTTCCAGATGAAACAAATTAAAATTACCTCAGAAATTCTAAAAGAAATCCTCAGGTTTTGAATTTTACGTAAAGCAAATACAAGAGAACAAAATGAAGTAATGGGGGTGTTTCAGCTGCACAGGTTTTACATGAAAAAAAGCAATATATGATATGTCTGCTGCTGAAGATAAGAGGTTACACTAAGATAACAGTAACGTAACAGAAAAAAGAGACGTTTTTAATCCATATATGTAGTAGTTAAAGCATAACCCAGATAATTCCACTACAAAATACACAGAACAAACAAAAATACAAGTATAATTCAAAGAGCAGTATTTAAACTTCAAATCAATGACAACAGCAGATTCAGGGGATCAATGACTGCAACTCATGATCACTAACATTTCTTCAATAAATGGAGTTATTTCAAAGCTAGCAAGAAGTATTTTGGTATTTTTATCACCCTTTTGAAAAGCAACACTATGAACTTTAGGGTGGAGTTGATGAGGGTGTTAGGCAAAGGAGTTATTTCTACCTCCTTTTTGATACTTCTTTGTTAGATATGTGACTTTTTACCTGAAATGGTGCTGTGCTAACAATGGAAAAAGCAGTGACTGCATGTTCTGCATCTTTTCAGCTGGTGCAAGTGCAGGTTCTGCTCATAACAGATCTTGTTTTCAGGTGCAAGGTTCTCAGAAGTGAGACGTGCAGTGAGTCAAGTCTGTGACATTTCATGTGAGAATTATTTTCCAAGTGTCAGACATATCCATCTCACAGTCATCACAAGGAATGCCACTTGCTACTTTCCCCTAGGCTTAAGTGGCAAGTTCTAAACTTTGCTTAAGGCAACAGAGGTTGTGGTTTAATTCTATCAAAGTTCCTTTAAGATTCTTTTCAATGAGGGAATGCCCAGTTAAACTTTGTGGTCTGAATACAAGAAGCATTCACTAAACTCCTCCATTCCAGTTCTGATTCTCAATTCCAAGCACTGAAATGCACTCAGGATCACCAGTGATACTGGGAACAAACACCGTGTGCTTGGTGTCCCTCAAAAGCAAATAAAAAATGCTCTAAATTATGTAAGGCTCCCAGAGGAAGCCACCCTTTCCTCAGCTCCTTGGTAGTTCCAGTTTGAAGGGCAGGGAGGGTGGGTAAATCAGTTCTCACCAGGGCAAGCAGAGGCAAACATTGGTAAGGCATGTTCCTCCTGGTTCCTCCGTTGGTAGCGCTGCACAAATTCCCTCTGGCTCTCCAGGATACTGAAATCTGCAGCTATAGTGGTGTCAAACACATAATGCACCCCTGGGAAGCAAGCACAAACAGCACTAGAATGTTTTCCACCTCACAAACCCTTTCCAAGTTCCAGCCCTATGAAAAATCTTGAAGGATCAACAGGTACATTGCTTCCCCTCTGCACATTTTCACAAACAGCAGAGTCATAAATAAAAGCCATACACTGCAAAAACTTCTACATCTGAGTTTAAAAGTATCACCAAGAGGCTGGTGAGCACTTTGCATCTATCACTTTTGGGTCCTGCTCAACTGAACAGCATGTCACGACTCCTGGGTGACATGCAGTGACTCTTGCAAAGAAATGTTCTTTTCAAGACATGCTGAAGTCAAATAAAATCATATCCAGCTGAGAGGAATATCTGCCATTGCTGAAGTTGTTTGCAGAGCTACAGGAGCATATCACCAACACAGCAGAGAGCTTCTGGCTGCTCATTTGGCAACACACTCCCCATGGGCCTACGTAACACTGAGCACATCCCCACAGAAGCGAGGGTAGATAATGAATGCATTCTAGGAAAACTGGGGCCCACCAGAACTCAGGAATGCTTTGAGATGAAGAATGTACACTGGGTTTAAGATGCATCAGAAAAAAACCATGAAAAATGAATATATATAGATACAGATAGAAGGAAACAGTTTATAGGTTTATTACTGTCCTTTTTCTTTCTTCAAGTAAATTTAAAAAATCCCAGACTTACAAGGAAAGTGGCTTTTGCTTTTTATCTAAAACTCTGTAAATATATAATGACCAAAGAAAATACAGCTTTAACATATACAAAAGTACTTGTAATTTCAAAATACAGGGAAAAAACACAACTTGGAATCTTCTACAGATACAATGTGTCAGAAGGACTGAAAGGAACTTAGAATAAGAATTACCTTCTCCCTCAAGTTTTACAATAATGGGAAGCTTGTGACTAAGTCCTCCCTGATTTCTTGGTAGCCAAGGTTTTGGAGGCAGCTCCACAATGTCCTTCTGTTCTGTGACCTTTCCTGGGAGCAGGGAATGTCCCCAGTGTGTTTCTCACACTGCTCTGTGTGGCACTGGTGCCTGGCTGGAACCTCACAGAGCGTGGAGTTCAAACTCTGAACGGGGTTGTGCAAGGGCACTTGAGGACTGTTTAACAAAACATCATGGAATGGAATCCCACCACTGCTTTTGCTCAGGAGGAACCCTAAAGGTCATCCAGTCCCACCCCTGCCATGGGCAGAGCCACCTCCCACTGTCCCAGGGTGCTCCAAGCGCTGTCCTTGGCACTGCCAGGGATCCAGGGGCAGCCACAGCTGCTCTGGGCACCCTGTGCCACCCTCATTTCTCCCTATTATCTATTCTAACCCTGCCCTGTTTCACTCCATGCCCTTGTCAAAATTCCTCTCCAGCTCTCTTGCAGCCCCTTCAGGTACTGAAAGCTGCTGAGAAAGCAAACCCAACCGAAACGATCCCTCCCTTTCTGCTTCACCAAATGCAAACTTACCAAGACTTTTGAGGAAACCACAGAGTCTCTTGGCTGCTTCATTCACAGAGAGATTGAATTTAGCAGCAAAATAAGGCAATGACTGAGGGCATAGAGACACTGCCAACACTTTGTGTTTTGAGGTATCACATTTCTGGTAAGTGAAACAAAGAGAAAAAAAAGTCATTAAAACAGGGTAAGGCTCCTTGCTTTCCCATTGCTGGAGTTATTCCTTAAGAGTCTCATGCTTCAGTGGGCCACATCATTAAAAACCCTGTGAAACAACCCTCAAGTTGCAGCAGAACAGGATGTTCCCCTGATCCTGACATTGTTCATCTCCAATCATCTGTAGATGTTCCTTTTCTAGAACTCAGGGGAAATCCATCCCTCCTAGGACAATTCTGTGGTTGGATTCCAGGTGGTGCAAGGAAAGTCAAGGGACATTCAGCACCTCTGATGTTCTAGTAGGATGAAATATTCTAGCAAATAGGAGAAGAGCTGTATGTTTAAACATTGACAAAGAATGTTTACAGAAGCAGGGGCATTCAAAGCTATAAATATAACCCAGCTAATTAGACATCTGATTTTTTGTTGAGGCTCCTGTGTCTTTGTCACTGCAGTTGTTGAGGGAAAGTGGCAAGATGGGACTCTCAACAAATCAGCACTTGCAGGCACTGAGGAATTCTATGAAAGTATCCAGTGCATGGTGTGGAACTGTGCAGCTCTAATGATGGTGGCATTCAGCTGAAGATTAATCTTGTGTTTTAGCTGGGACATTTTCCACACCAGTGGAACCCTTGGAAGAAAAAGCAGGGCTGTGCTACAGACAAGTGTCACCCTGCAAAGGTCAGAGCCCACGGTCTGCACTGATCCAAATGTGGACAACAACCCTTCAAGGAGAGCTCCTGACTCAGAGCTCCTGACTGCCCCTTGCTTGTGTTTGCACCCCTGGGGCTGTGATGGAGGTACCTGACTGCCTTGCTGATGTAGGATTCAGGTCCTCTTAACAGGACCCATGTCACCCAAAAGATTATTTTCCCCCCATTCTCTTCTAATTTTCTTGTAAATGGCAACATCATTCTGTGTGGATAGTTAAACTCCTAAAAAAATGTAAGTACTATGTAATTAATCAATATTTATGGCACACATGTACAGATCAAGAAGTTGTTTCAATCCTAGTAGCTTTGCACAGAAGTCTGGAGCAGAACTAAAATAATTTAACATCAGGTTCTAAAGATGTGAACACTACACACAGCAACTAACTTCTACAAGAAACAGAACTCAGCAGAAAATAAAACAGCAATAGAACACTTACAAGGTTTGCTAAGAATATTTATATCCTATATTGAATATATATAATATTGAATATTCTATATTGAATATATATTAAAAAGCATTCTAATTTCAAGAACATGTCTATAGGTTTGAATAATGTGGGTATATTAGCACCAAAACCACCCAGAACAGTCCTAGCAGTGAAGGTATGAATATCTATAAACACCAAACTACAGAATAATTTGTTAGTGCAGTAATGGAATCACCACATTGTCAATAAATTTTCCTTCTGCAGGTGCAGTAACTTTGTGCTTACATTAAGTGCTGTGACCTTGCAACTCCAGTACAAAATTATTTTAAGTACTTTTAACGTTTGTGTTGCCTGACTTCCTCTTTGGAAAAAGCATATCCTGACAAATCTTCACATTATCTGCCTTGGGAAACCAAGCTGCTTAGTCATTCTGGAACTGCCTCCTCCTCACAGAGAACAGTGGGGCATTGTTTGGGTCACTTTACCTTATTAAGGTTGAGAACACGAAAGAATTCCTTCTGGTTCTGCTGGAAAACTCTGGCTCCTTCTTCCAAAGTCATGCAACTGTCACAAGCTAGGCAGTCGCTAAGGAGTATTTTAGCATTAGCCAATGTATCAAACTCATTCTTCTGGTGGCAAAAAAAAGAAGTAAACAAGTATTTAATAATGATCAAATGAGTTTCAACATCTCTGCACCGAGCCAGATGAAAAGCAAACACAGTATCCCTGTTTGGTTTAAAGCAGGACAATCCACAACACTTGCATAAGGTCCAAGATTATTTACAGGTAAACAAAATAATATGTTCCATCCCAATCATAGCTCTGCTCCTCCTATTACTGTGAAACTGCAAAATGTTTAAGTGTAAACAAAAACCTAAATTTAGCCCCTAGTCCATATGCTAGCAACTTAATTTGCACTGTGCTTCAGAGCTGACAGTCCCCATGAACTCACCAAGCAACTGAGAAAACTTTCCCTTGAACTGTTAAAGCTCTTTAAGCAGATGTCCCTCTAGCAGCAAGGTGGCTTAGGCTTTGTCACAGGAGGTAAAACAAAGAGAACACAGTCCTACAATTGCACTGAACACTGGCACTCCAGATTTTTAGAACTTAGAATTTCTGTTTAGTGTTTGCATTGTAAGGGCTTTTATTGCACCTTTTTACAAGGTTTTTGATTCACATATTAAGGGATGTCTACAACACCTCATAATTTTTTTCAATTGCTTGTTGTTAGCTCAAAGTTGTCTCCTCATAACCTCCTTTGGGGTGCACAAAACAAAAAAATATAGAGTCTAATACAGGTTTTAGAAGTAACATTACCTCTTCAGAGCCATCATTTGAACTCAATGCATCAACAGATGCACTTTGTGTATCATCATTTTTCTGTTTTTTACTGCATTCCTGAAACAAAACATAAAACGCGTGGATTATGCAAAGCCTGTTCACCATTCTGTAAGAACACTTTTGCAGAACTGCCATTAACCAGTTAACTGCCATTAACAATTCATGCCATTAACCACCGATAGAGTTATTTACAGCGTTTTGGAACACATGCAAGACCCTGTGCTCCAAGTGCAATTGCACGATGGAATAATTTCCCCGGAATTCCCCTGCTTTGAGAGCTCGGGGCGGTTTGCTAAGGCGAGGGGCTGCCCCGGGCAGGCAGCGCAGAGCCGGGCACGGCCGCACACCGGCGACACCGCGCCCGGGGCTCCGCGGGAGCTGTCACGGCGCGGACGGGAGCTCGGTGACCTTGGGGCGAGGCCGTCCTCGCGGGCAGCATCCCCCCGCGCCGAGGGGCGGCAGGACCCGGCCGGGCACTCACCTTCTTGGTGCAGTTCTCGCACTTCATCTGCGGCGCGGCCGGAGCAGCCCGGCGCTGGCGCGGTGCTGGCCGCGGGGCTGCGGGGCAGGAGAGAGCGGGGCGGGAGGTGAGAGCCAGGCGAGCCCGCTGCCCTCCGTCCCTGCCGTCCCCGCCGCCCTTTGTTGCCGCGCCCGCCCCGCCGGGCGGTCCCGGGGCGGCCCCGCCGCGCTCACGTGTCCCGCAATTCCCTGGGCCGGAATTACCCCGCGGGCGGCACCGAGCGGCCTCGGAGGAGAGCGGAGCGGGCAGCGCTGGCCGAGCCCCGCCGGGAAGGTGCCCCCGCAGCACGCCGCGCTGCACCCCCGGCTCTTCAGAGCCGAGGGAACGGGAGGACGGGCGGGCACGAGCCGCAGCTCATCATCTCCACCGGGGAAAAAAAAAAAACAACCGGCAGTCGCAATCCCTTCGGAAGCCCCGGTGCGGCTGCCGGGGGCAGCGGCGGGCCGTACCTGCCGCCGGGGCTGTGCCTGCGGCCGCAGAGCGGGCGGGGCGGCGCCGCCTCCTCGGCCGCGCCCGCCGGGCTCATTGCGGACCTGCGCCGCCGCACGTACGCGGAGGGACAAACCCATCGGTCCCGGTCCCCATCCCGATCCCGAACCCCATCCCCATCCCGACCGGGACCCGCCACGCCTGCCCTCCGCGCCCGGCTCTGCCCCAGCCTTCGCCGCTTCTCTGGAGCAGCGTCCCTGCGTATTTGTCACAACGCGCTCCTCTGTTATATCGTACAAAGGGGTTTTTTCCCCCCTCGATTTTTGCTTTTTCCTGATGGTTTTAAAAAGTGAAATGACACTCTGCGAGTTGCTAAATACAGCATCATCACCATTTTATTTAACCAATACACTGCGATTTGCCATTCCTGTAACAAACACAAGTACCAGCAATGCTGTTCCCAGGCAGGAATCACAAATCCTCATGAACAGGATTATTAAACGGACATCAGCCTTCCACAGTCTCAAAGGCCCCGGAGTATTAATCAAGATGCTTATGATTTCTTGTCTTTCTGAATCTCAGGTTGTAGGATTTAATCAGAAAGGTTTAATCCACATTTTGCTCCTTTTTTAACCCCTGGCCATATGAACACACACGTACACGCAAACGCCTCCGGCTACACAGAGAAGTTTTTCAAGTGTAAAATGACATTTTGTAAATTAAACCACAGAACTTCCGAAAAACATGCAATTTCCTGCCTAAACTGCAACTCTTCTATAACCCCGGGTAAATCCCCTCCCGTTACAGTGACCTCTAATGCTTTAAGCCACAGATGGTTTTTGATCACAGGGGCTGCAGACAGGCACAGCCAGAGAGGTTTGTTACCCAAACCCACAACTTTAAACACTTGTTCCATGTTAAGAATACTAAAGATAACCCCAGAGAAGAATGTAGTGCTTTTTTTATTTTTTAATTTGCAGACTATAGGTGAGTTATCACTGAGGTCACAGAAATCAAGAATTCCTTAGCTTAACCATGATGAAAGCAAACAGAAATGTTTTCATATTTACCACCTAAAGAAAAGTAAGCTGATGCTGCTTTACATATACCCTGGAAAAATATCACTAATCCTGGCTTGAGGTAAAAATTGTAATAGCTTTGGTAATTTTCTGTGCCTCTGCTCCCTTCATTCAAAATGCTCTCATATTTTATATTAGCATATTAGCCCAAGCTTTTTAAAAGCACCACAACCACTCCTGAGCAACTCCTATGTGATCTAAGAATTTGCATTTCCTACAGACTTGCTGGAATGCAGCATTGTCTGACATCTTTTTTGTTCCTGTGCATGAGTATTTTCATACAAGAAAAGCACCTTATTCCACCAGGATACAACAGCTATAGCTGCATTGACCAATAAGGTGATAGATGAAAAGTTCTAAATTAGAAATGTGGTGAGATTTGCACTTAAAGACACAGCTAACATCTTCCTGTTTCACACTCTGATTATACTTACATTTATTATCCAAAACTGATATAGTGATTCTTCAAAGGACATGTCAGTTTTGGATATTTCTGTAACTGCACAGATCATATTTAAAATATTTTTTATTTCCCAGAATCACAGAGTAGTTTGGGTTGGAATGGACCTTTGAAGGTCATCCAGTCCAAACCCCTCCTCCACTAGTCCAGCTTGCCCCAAGCCCCATCCAGCCTGGCCTTGAATGTTTCCAGGGATGGGAATCTCTGGTCAATTAAGTCATCTGTTACAGGATTGGATTAAACACATTCTTCTGCACATCATCAAAGGGAAGAAGACTAAACTTCCCCCATATTTCTTGTATTCACAATGAAAAACAGAGAACTGCATAGAAATGGAAGCATTTTGCAAGAATATTGAGGACATCTTAGGTGCATACATTAAGTATCCCTATTTCATCCTTAATTTTAGGAATATTTGGATTGAATTTATTTTAATTTAAAAATTCAAACAAAAAGAGCTAAAACTAATAGAAACTGAAGAGTGTGCAATGAATCTCTGTTTCAGTGCACAGTATAAGATTATATTTGTGAAATCATTAGATAATTAGATGTCTCATTTATTTTATTGCCTCTGCTTTCCATTAACTATGGATGCCATTTTCCCACAGAACAGTGGATCTTTGATCAACCCTCACAGTATGCCTGACATCCTGAGACAAGAAAGCACTACCTGCTTTCATCTGGGGAGGTGACACTTACCAAAAGCCTCACTCTCTAAAAGCTTTCCTAGCCAGCACTTAAAGGCATCACTTCTTTTATGGCCACTGGTGATGTATTTGGCCTCCATGTAACATTCATCCCTGCACCTGAAGCATTTACACCCTGAATGAAATGGAGAAATAAGAATTTCTGTGCTCACACTGTGAGAACAGTGTGCTGCAAACAACTGCAAGTGTTACAGGTTTGCATGGGTGCTGCAGGGCAGTGCCACAGTGACAGCACATGCCACCCCCCAGCTGTCAGGATTGGGCAATAAACCTTGGCCACAGCTGGTGACCATGGATTCCATGGAATCTGCTCTGCAGGCTGCACACACTCTGTCCCAGGTCAGGGGCAGCACAGAGAGCTCCTCCTGGGGGATGAGCTCACTGCTAACAGGAGTCACAGCCAAGTCCTCAGCCAAAGCATTTGGTGGCTGCTTCCAAGCAAGGGAATTTATCCTGGCATGTTAGGGAGATCACATGCTTATTGCATAGCTGAATTCCTGAGTTTAAGACCTCAGGGAGGAAAAAAAAAATATAAGGAGTTAGAAAGGACTATTTAGGGAAATGGTCTGAAATAGGAAAAAGCACCAGAATTACAGACATGTCAAACTAATTCAAAATAAAGGCCAGTTCTGTTCTATTTGCATGTTCTTTGGTTTAGGTCAATGACTCAAAAGCTACAGTGTGTTTACTACACAAATAGAATATAAACACTTCCACAGAATCTATTTTTACATTGTTGAGGAAGAAGTCTACAAATAGTCAATCACATATTCCTGAATTGTTTATTTTGGAAAACAGTTTTTGTTTCTGCAGCAGTGGTTTGGAATTCATGCTGTTCTTTAGGTCCATGATCAGGCTTTCAAAATGTTCCTTCTTCCTTTTTCTATTGGTAGGCATAACAGCACTCACCTACTTCAAAGAGCTGGTGTAAAATCCCCAGATTTTAGAAAAAAATCTGTAGGAATCATTAATGGATAGCAAAAGCTTACAAGGATCCTTGCCATATTTATTTTGATTGTGCATGTAGGGGGTATTTCCCATGGCTGAAAAAAATTTCTCTGTAACTTCATAATTAAATTAAGTCATATCAGGTTATCCTGGTGTGACCTTTGCAGAACTGCAGAAGTAGAGAGTTGCTGATATTTTTGCAGTTAGTAACATAATAATAAAACATATGCTCTGTGGTTTATGCTGAGCAGAGGGACAGATGAATTTCTTGCTTATTTCACTCTGCTCTAGACACAAGAAACCTTTTGTCTTATATCAATCAAAACAGCTTAACATTTGGTCTCCAGAGAAACCAGTTGCTTATAAAAACTGATTGACAGCTAATTAGACATAAATTTCTTCCCAGAAGACTCAGTCAGCTGCTTGTTTGGGTTGAGCACACGTGATACTTATTACTTCCTATTTTTCATCCAAATCCAGCAGCTGGTACCTCGTGACTCACAAGCAGGCCAATTCATTCTTGCAGTTCCTCACTGCCTTCAGATTTTAGAAAAAAATTCTGCAGGAATCATTAATGCATAGCAGAAGCTTACAAGGATCCTTGCCATATTTATTTTGATTGTGCATGTAGGGGGTATTTCCCATGGCTGAAAAAAATTTCTCTGTAACTTCATAATTAAATTAAGTCATATCAGGTTATCCTGGTGTGACCTTTGCAGAACTGCAGAAGTAGAGAGTTGCTGATATTTTTGCAGTTAGTAACACAATAATAAAACATATGCTCTGTGGTTTATGCTGAGCAGAGGGACAGATGAATTTCTTGCTTATTTCACTCTGCTCTAGACACAAGAAACCTTTTGTCTTATATCAATCAAAACAGCTTAACATTTGGTCTCCAGAGAAACCAGTTGCTTATAAAAACTGATTGACAGCTAATTAGACATAAATTTCTTCCCAGAAGACTCAGTCAGCTGCTTGTTTGGGTTGAGCACACGTGATACTTATTACTTCCTATTTTTCATCCAAATCCAGCAGCTGGTACCTCGTGACTCACAAGCAGGCCAATTCATTCTTGCAGTTCCTCACTGCCTTTTCCCATTAACACTCTTACACAGAGACTGCACATCAGCTGGTATTTTCCAGTACTTACACTTAAATGTCTGTACCAGGGACTCTTGGGTGGTTTTTCCCCTGTCTTCACTCTGGAGTGTTATGAAAGTCACTGGTCAAAATCTCAATTTGCTGGAATAGTGTTCAGAACAGCTAAACAAACTTCTATCACGTCATGGCCCTGAGCAAACACTCCAGAATATATTCATGTCTGGAAAAAAGCCAAAATTTGAGGATTTCATCCAGGAAGGACATTCCTGTGCAACTGAGAGAGGACCAAATATCATTTGTAGATGAAGTTACACACTGACTTAGAATAATTCAAGAAGTTAAACTCCAGATGTCTGCACTTCACCCATCCTGCCTGACATAAGCAGTTGCTCTAATGGATTGAACAGGAACAGCTTTTCCCATGTGACTGATGTTTGAAACACGAAAGATTTTCCAAATGCAGACTATTTGTCCACAACAGGAAAATTACTCTATATTTCCAGTGAATTAGAAACTTTCCTCCCCAAATAACAGATTTTCAAACCCAAGCCTTCAGCTGACATACAATTCAGAAAACTCAAGACATCAATGTTAGACCTGTAAGATTATCACTGATATTTCTGCTTTGCAAATATAAGTGATGTCCAGGTGTTAGAAAAAACAAGTTATTTGTTGGTGAAATTGCCTTGTTACAGTCTAGGACTTGATAACGCTTTAATGATCTCAGACCTAGCAGAAGTTAACAAAGTCTGAGAAATAAGGATGCCCACTGGCAGTGGACACAAAGAATGCAGAATTTAGGGGCCATCTGGCACGAACTCCCAATATAAGGAAGAAACAAATGAAGCCAACTCAGCAACTGAAATCAGCTCCAGCTGGTTAAAAGGGAATTGTGGCAGGTGGAATCTGCAACCACTGACACGAGAAACCCACCTGCAAGAAGGAAAGACTGAGCATGCACACTTAGTAGCATGTCAAGTGGATCGTTAACCAACAGAAGACAGAATACTAATTATTAATGAACTATGTAACTTGTGAAGGGTAATGTCTTTATTTGCTAAAATGTGTAAGTAGTTAAAAGCTTTGGTGTGCTTGATCTGTGGAAACGTCCACCTTGCATCCTGTGCAGAATAAACAACATCTCCTTCCTAAACTAAATTCCCGGTGTTTTAGAGAGCTCCTAAAATCGGCAACACCTCTCTGCAACCATTCCAAACCCACCTGGAGACGTTCGAGGTTGTCAGCAGGGCCTGGACTGAGGGATCTCCAGAGGCTCCTTCCAACCCCAATTGTTGTCATTCTGCCAGAGCCGAGGCACAGCACCGGCGCTTTTGTAGCAGTGAACCCATCTTGAAAAAACCCATTTTGAACCAGTGAACCATCGAGAACCCAGAGGTTTCCTGGCCTCCGCAGGAGCTGCTCGAGCCTGGGGACAGCCCCAGGGCTCCCCTGCCCTCCCCGACCCCCTCATGCAAGGGGCCACCTCCACCTCACCCATGGTGATCCAACTGGGTCCGCTAAGGCTCTCCCACACACCCAGCCTCACCCTACAGCAGCTCACTCCTCTCGTCACGCGACGTTTCTGCTCTTTCCAAGCACCGCTAAAGTAAAACAAGCAAGGAAACATCGACGCTCTTACTTCAGCGGCATCCGCGGGCTCGGGCGCCATGCCGGGTGCTGGCGGCGCGCCGCCATCTTGGCGCGGCGCTGCCCTCACGGGCGGGGAAGGAGGCTCGTGTCCCATCCTCTGCCCTCACCCAAAATGGCCGCGGGCGCGTCCGGCCATCCCTGAGGCGGGACCGGCGCTGAGGGCGCGGAGGCGGCCGTGGGTCCCTTCAGAACGCGGCTGGAGGCCGGGCAGGTACCGCGGGCGCGGGGCTGGGCGAGGGTGAAGGGCGGGCGCCGGTTCCCCACGCGCGGGGGGACAGAAGCCGCGGGTTGGGGGGGTTCTGGCAGGGCCGGTCCCTGCCTGGGGAGGGTCTTCCCTCCCTGAGGGAGACATTAGGCTGGGGTGGGAGCAGGTGCAGGTTGGGAGGTAAAGAAAAATGAGCTCTGTAAAGAAAATTGAGCTGATGTGCGGTCCTGACTTGATGGCTTGATTTCAAGGGTGCCTTCCAAGGGGTTTTGCTGGCTCGCCCTGAACAGAGAGCTTGGAGGGAGCATGAGAAAGATATTTTGATGGTGGAGATCAGTTCAGTGTCAAACCAGACAAATTCAAGCAAATTTGAGGTTTGGAATTTGAAATGAAAGAGCAGCACAAAAATTCCTCTTTCTCTGTAATCATAACGTTGTAGTAAAACTGTAGTATTTGCTTTAGGGTGCGTTTATGATTTATTTATTAAATGTAACTTTAGAAGCTGCTTTGGTGCTTTTTATTCCAAGGTGCATCTCTTGCAAGGAGCAGCCTGTGAGAGACAATGCGCTGATGTTGGGTGTCCAACATTAAACCAAAACTGGCATTTGCCTGCTTGGACTTCCCTAAATTATTATGGGGGAAGATATCAAAGTTTGCATTAATGAATTTTACTGTTATGTGTGAGAATTATGTTCTAAGTAGGGCGTAATATTTGTTAAATGCAGTGAGATTTCTGCAGTGATCTCAATATATTTTATAACTTGGATTTGATAACAGGCATTGTGCATGCTGAAGTGTTTTCCGGTATATTGAGAACAACTCACAGGAGTCATTTGAAAATTAAAATTTGATGCTTGACATCCGGAGGAGATGGAGCGTGCCTTATGCATAAGTGCTTCTGGCTCTTTCAGTTTCAGATGCTCTCAGATGTGTTGCTAAGAGATTAAAATCCAAGTCGTGGGTGCTTTTTGTTTAACTGAAAAGACCTGGCTAACTGCTCCCCTGGAGCTTTGTATCCAAACTACCAGAATTGCAGGGGCATCTTCTTGTATCCAAGAACAGCTGGATAACCAAGGGACTGAAAATCACATTTTGCCTTTGGTGAGAATTGGGTGTGCTCAGACCTGCTCTCTCCGTGTTTGTCATGGTTATTCAAAACCTGATGAATGTTGGCATTTTCTGGAAACGTGTTATGGTGGGCAGCTAACAGCAGCTTAATGCCAGCCTCCTTGAACTGGTTCTGTGGGACAGGCTGCCCTGGGAAGTGGTGGAGTCACCATCCCTGGAAGTGTTCAAAAACCACATAGGTGAGGTGCTTAAGGACATGGTTTAGAGATTTCCATTCCGCTTGCTGTTTTATCTGTTTGATGGGCTGCATGAATTACAACAACATTGTTCCAGATTCTTGTTTTTCACATTTTTAATCTGGAATCTGATTATAAAATAAGAGACTTCTACCCCTAAAATGAGAACTTTCTTCCCAGAGTTCAGATTCCTGTTGTTGTTATGCAACTCTTGACATGACAGTTTTACTTTGTGGTTGTTTTCAGTGCACATATTGCTCTTCCTGTCCAAAAAAACTCTGTTCATACCCTGGAGTGTATTTTATAGTCTAGATTAAGACTTGGTAAATCGTGGAAGGGGAGCTGGTGAAATTGTCAATAATTTAATTTTTTTTTTCTTTCTTTTTTTTTTTCTTTTTGTTTTTTTGGCCCAGTGAGGTTTCATGAGTCAGACTGGGCTGTTGGGAGTTTCTTTTGAAGATGTACATGTTGGTTGAAAAACGCACAAATTCCCATCTTCACCTGAAGAGGTCACCTGGCATCCGATCCTGGTCTCTGTGTGTTGGTAAGAGCACAGCGTTCATTTCAGAGCTTGCTTTAAGGGAAGAGGGTCACCATAAACTCCTGACAGAGCCCCTGGTGAAATGCCTGCCTTCCAGGCATTTTCCTTTCCAGAAGAGGAAAGATTGTGCTTTGAACTCTTCCTTTCTAAATGAGTCTGAAGCCTCAGCATGGCAGTTTCACTGTGACACTTTCAGTCTCATCTGGAGAACCTCAGAAGATCATGGATGGAATTTTAAAGGAGTCCTGAAGGATCCAAGAACAGAAGGTTTATTATGAGCCGTGCAGCAACAGAAATGTGAAGCTTCTGAGGGGGGTTTTGGGTTGAGAAACTTCTCAGTTTGCAGGAGTGGAAGACTGCAGTGTGACCATGCTGGGTTGGGTTGTGTGTGTGGTTGGTGCTGAGCTCCTGGGGACTCTGTGTGAAATGGGAATCACACAGGATGTTCTGAAAGGCATCTTTGTAAACACTACTGAATATGCAGGAAAAATAAACCTGTTAGGATTGTAGTGAGAGAGCTGCTGGGGAAAATCTGGTATATCCTGCTTTCCAGCTGAGCAGATCCCACTGCAGTCACCCCACGTTGTCATTGCTTTCAGGGGTATTGTTGAGAACATCTTTGCAGTTGCAGCAGCCTCAGGGGCGTGGGGCACTCTTCAGCTGCTTCCTCCTCTCTGAGAGAAAGGAGCTGGCAGTTTCTAGCACAACTTCACTGCAAAAGTTGTCTTTTAGCTCCATTGAGCACTTAAAGGGGAAAATAACCATTGCAAGGTTTGTGTGAGCACTCCGAGGTGTACTGTGCTGAGAGGAAATATGGTGTTATGGTTAGATTGAGTCCCTCTCAAACCCTCCCTGGTTCTGTTCCCAGTTGTGTCACAACATTTTTATTTCTGACCCCAGCCCCTGTGCTTTTAATGCCTTTGCAGAATGGAAGTTTTTTAATACTAAGAGAAAAAAAATAACTTGACTTTCATATAGTGATCTAGGTTGCAGTCACATTTATCCCATTTTTGAAAAGTGATGTTTTTCATCAGGGAATTTTAGATGTTTTTTGAGCTGCTTATTTGTGTTAATTCTGTCCTCTTTCCTCCTAGGAATAGCCTCCATAGGTTTGGCTGCTGCTTATTATAGTGCAGGTAATGGCCTATCACTTTTTTTGGGAGAGTTATTTCTTTCCTGTTCATCTGTTTGTCATGCTGATGACTCATCTGCAGCTTCTGTCTGGCCCTTCAAAGGCACTGGAGGTTCCTCTCCCACTTTGTGGTGTGAATATTAAAACCAATAATAACTGTTGCCTCTATGGCTTTCTGTGCTGTACTCCTCTATTCTTACTCAGCCTCCTCTTCCATTTGCAAGTATTTTTAATAATGGTATTGGTACTCTGTGGCATTTTGTACTTTCAATGTTTTATAAATGTGATTAGCTGGTCCTCACAGCTCTCCTGGGAAGACATGTAATGCTCATTTGACACCATAATGAAATGATTCCTTTGCCTGTGATGAAGTTCTGTGTTTCTCTGGAAACTGTCAGATCATCACTAGCAGAGATTACTCATCCAGGCACCTTCAGGGATGAGACAGCTCCTGCTGCTTCCTCCCCTGCAGTACAGCAGACTGCACCAAATGCCAGCTGCCTTTCCCTCCATGGGCTTTGTCCTGGGAGCTGCCCTGTGATTCTTGTGCTGCACCCTGTTAACATCAATGTTAAAACTTAATAGTGTGTAGGAATGTGCTACCAACAGAACCCACATATTTTTATTTAAAGAGAAGAATGCAGTGAAAGCTGCTTGAGCCACCAGCTAAATCAGCCTTGTTTTTCTTAAGAGGTTGCAACAAAATTTTCTGAAATCTCAGCATAATTCTGCTGTGCCTTCAGTTAAAAGCCTGAGTGAGCAAATTATTCAGGCTGTGACATGTAAACATTTTCAGGAGATGAAATGCAAATGTTTGTTTGTCAAGAGGACCAACTGCTTCCTTTTATGCAGGAACATGTTTGCTTTATTGAATTTTCATTGTCCTTATCCTTGTCCTCTGCAGCACAAATATTTGGTGTTTGACAGCAGGTTGGCAGTTTTGTGAATGCCTTTTAAGATGCCTTTGCTTGTGCAGAAGAGAAAGATGTGGTGTTACAACCTTGCCAATAATACATATGCTTATAGTTCTGCATGGTTTGAAGCCCAGCATGAATGAGGTCTGTGAAAAGTGTGAAGACTTTCTGTATTTTCATTCTGGGAAGGAGCTGTGAAATAGCTTGTAGTACAACTAAAGGCAAAAATATTCCATCAGAGAAACCTTTCCTCCTTTTGTTGCTTTTAAAGGGAGCATGTTGCTTTCAGGATTGTTTGAATATCAGAGAAGGGGGGAAAAAAGCTAAATTTGTGCATTTTTTGCATTGTCCAGACAGCTTGGCATGGAAGCTCTTCTACATGGCTGGGTGTTTCTTTGTGGCAGCCCAGAATCTGGAGCAGTGGGAGGTAAGATGCTGAGCTCAGGAATGAGGGTCTGTGAGTAGGAAGCAGTTGGCAGATGCTGACTGCAGCAGCCCCACACACTTGCTCAGTCCAAAGAGACAAGTTATGCTTTGCTTTTGAGGAAACCCTCTGGGTTGCCGTGCTGGGACTGGAATTAAGGCAATAATTTTTGATTACAGCATAAAAATGTGAAGCTAAACATATGGGTGTTTTTAAGGGGAGACTTGGCCCAAAATGTTCTCTTACATAAAAGAGGGAGGGTGAGCAGGACATTCAGCTGCACAACATGATTTTGAGCTGAGCCTTCAAGCTAATGACAGAGCAACCACTAAATGAGGGAGCTCTGAGCTTCCAGGCTGCTCAGCTTTTTTCCTCTGGTTTAGAATTGTGTGGATGTTGATTTGACAGCAATAAGCCACCTTGTCACCCTGCTGACCTGAGTTGTGTTAGAATGAGCAACTCACCTAAAGAGAACGAGATCCTGTTTTCATTGATTAATATGAAATTTTATTAACATCCCAAATAATTAGTATCCATTTTCATTGGGATATTTGAGGTCTGTGTGAGCCTGGCCCATGAAGCACAGCACTGGGATGTCAAATTCAGCAGAAGTGAAAATTGTAGGAGTTACAAGTTAATGTTCAAATTTGATTCCAGGCAGTTTGTATTACATGAGGAATGTGGCAAGAGGGAAGTTAACCCACTTTTAACTCCCCTCTAGAAGTCACACAAGAGATATGGTAAAGTTTCTGTTAAAACCAAGAGCAAGATTGTGATTTTCATGGTGTAGTAATAGAGGAATGTCTCTAAGCTAGCAGTGTATTTTTCTGTTACCAAGATTATTTTCCCACAGAACTGTTTTTATTTTACTTCGAAGCATAACTAGTGATGGTGTTTTCAAGAAAATCTTAATTCTTATTTTTCAATTTTACAGGAAGCTGTATTTGATAAAAACAAGGGAACAATCTGCCTAAAAACATTCAACCTCTACAAAAAAATACTGACCTTGTCAAAAGGAGGCAATGAACAAGGTGAGAAAGCAGCATCTGTGATAGAAAATGTGGTGAGCAGCAGGAGAGATGGATGTGTGCCCATTCAATAGCTTCTCTGGAGTTCTGTACTCAAATTAAGTCACATCTGCTTCCAGATCTGCTTTGTTCCCAAGCAGCAGATGTAACAATCTGCCTCTCTGGGCCCAAATGCTTTTTCTCAGTGTGCTGAATGCATCTTGTTAATTATTTTAATCCGAGGTAAGTAGGCCTACACATTGCTTTCCATAATAATCTTAGCCATTCCTTTGGGATGTTAATGTGTTTACCTTGCTCTTGGCTAGCCTGCTTGGCAGCTGGGACTGGTGGAAAGACTTCAATTTTGGATCCAGAAGTTGAGATTCCTGTAATCTCATCTGCTTTGGGGAGCAGGCAAAGGTTTGATACCATATGCAAGCAGGCATGTTACATCCTGCAGGTATGGAATATGCATTTGTAGCAGCCTGTGCAGGAGGCTCAGTTTAATGCAGGAGCTGCTGGCCTTTGGGCTTCCTCTTGGACTAACAGAAGTTGCAGTATAGCATGTGAGTTAGTGGCTCTATTGCAAACTGGGATCTCTATTCTGTTGGAAAAGTAGGATCTTCCATGGCAGAGTTTTTGTTCTACTTCCAGATGTAAATAGAACCAGCTCTCAATGAGCTTAGAAGAGTGGCCAAATTTGGAATGACCTTAAGCTGAATTTATTTTTAAAGAGCTCATTTTGGTGATGGAAGATGAGAGATGTGGAGAGAAGGCTGTTCCATGTTTCTGAGCTTTCCTTTAGGATACATGTTTACAATGGAGAGCTGAGGCTCTCTCTTCCTCTGTGATAATACCTGGTTTAGGTACCATTCATCTGAGGATGCAGAGATCAGCAGGTGCTCTGAGCTGTTAAATATTTCAGTATTTGTTCAATCTCAGTAAACTGAACACCTGTTTACCTATTCCATACAGAAAAATAGTTATAATTGCCATTAAAGTAAGTGGGAAACATAAGTAATGCTGGCTTGCTCCCCAGAGCCTGGCTGGCTGTATTTTTTTCCTTAGGGCCTATCCCAGCTACAGTGTGCTGCAGTCATGTTTCTTTTGTCTGAGCAGCTGAGCAGTTGTTTTGATGCCTCAAGTTTTTGCCATTTCTCAGATTTTGTAGTGCTTTAGTGTGTACTTCTGAGCTCCATATTAGGGGATGGGAAGCTCTCTTCCCAGAGTAAGGAAACAAAACAATTCCTTCTCCAGCTGGGGACCAAGGACAAACAATCCACATTTCAGGCCCAAGAGCATAAACAACACGGTCTGAAGAGAGAAAAACAAGCAGGATGGGACTGCTTGGGCTAAAGCTGGAATTGGACACTGAACTGCAATGTGCACATGGAGCAGAGCTGAGCCCAGGGAGAGACCCCGTGAGCGCTCGTGCATTTTGGGACCATTTTGGTTCATCTTGGGTGCAGCCCTGGCTGGGCTCTTGTGCTGCCCAAGGTGGATCCATTGAGGCCTTTGAATAAATTCCTAAGTAGAATAAAGTTATTCTTTAGCTCCATCTAGTCTCTGCTCTAGGTCAGCCTTCACAGAGCATCAGTTTGCTGCGGCAGGACTGCCCTGGCTGTGAGGGATCACAGCAGCGGTGCTGTGACAGCCGTGCTGTGACCCAGGAGCAGGTCCCTGTCACCCTGTCTCAGTGTGCCCCGAGGCAGTGCTGGGGTTTGCAGGATGCTGCCAGCTGTCTCTTTTGCCCCCGTGTGCAGTGGTGGCCGTGCTGAGCGAGGTCCGCGATGTGAACGTGGAGGAGGAGGCCGTGCGCTACTTCGGGAAGGGACACCTGGTTGTGCTGCGCTTCGTCACCGGCTTCTCGCACCCGCTCACCCAGAGCGCCGTGCTGGGCTGCAGGAGGTGAGCGGGGCTTGCTGACATTGCAGCCTGCAAGGTGGAAATGCCACTCGTGTGGGTCACTAATTGCCAGCTATTATTGATGCCTCAGGTTTTAGCTTTCGTGTTTTTCACATTAGTGTGCACTTCTGAGCTTCATATTAGGGGGTGGTGAGTTCTCTTCACAGAGCAGGGAGACAAAACAATTCCTTCTCTAGCTGGGGACCAATTACAACCTGTAAGGTGGAAATGCCACTCATGTGGGTCAGTAATTGCCAAGTATTATTGATGCCTCAGGTTTTAGCTTTCATGTTTTTCACATTAGTGTGCACTTCTGAGCTTCATATTAGGGGATGGTGAGCTCTCCTCACAGAGCAGGGAGACAAAACAATTCCTTCTCTAGCTGGGGACCAAGGACAAATGATCCAAATTTCAGGCCCAAGACAAAAAAAAACAAACCAAGAAGGATGGGACTTCATGAGCCAAAGCTATAATTGGACAATTAACTCCAATCTGCAAATGGAGCAGAACTTATAAAAGTGTGAGACCCCATGACTAGTCTTCAATTTTGTGACTATTTTGGTTCATCTTGGGTGCAGCACTGGCTGGGCTCTTGTGCTGCCCAAGGCAGATCCATCAAAACCTTCTAATAAATCCCTGCTTTATTCCTTAACTCTGCCCAGCCTCTGTTCTAGGTCAGCCTTCTCAAGGCATCATTATAACTAAGCTCAGTTTTTAGACTTGCTGTTATGACCTTGTGTTTCCCAGTTTAACCTTTTAAACCCCATAATGCTTTCATTTGCAGACATTTGGCTAACACCATCTGTCAGGATCGTGTTCAAATATCTAAGATCCCTTTAGTGCTGCATGTCTGCTGGAGTTGCCTTCTTGAGCTATACAGTGGCAGAAGGGATTAATTCTACTTTGCAAACATTTGGTGTATCAGTTAACAGAAAATTTATCTTAAGCATTGATAATAAGGAACCTTGCAGCAGGGGCTGGGAAAGGACTGATTTGTTCTGATGTGAGGGAATGGCTTGTTGTGGCCTGCTGTCCGCCATGCCCTCTATGCCCATATGCCTTTCCCTCTAGGCAGTTATTCTCAGGAATTAGCATGCCTGCTCTTGTCTTGTCACCACTTCAGTTCCACTAACTCTTCCATTGTTTCTTCTTTTCCACAGTGATGTGGAAGCAGTTGCCAAACTCATTACAAATTTTCTGGAACTGGACAGAGTAGAGACCCCGCAAGATTTCTCCCAGAGCAGCGAAACAGAGGCAAGTGATGCAGATGAACCCACAGGTTAAATACTGATAGTCATTGTGAACTGAAGCAAGCAGAGGCTTTCACACATCTGGAAAATATTCTGATTGCTCCTCAGAAAAAGAAACCCCTCACAACCCTGACCTGGGCATTTCTCAACATGTGCATTTACAACGGGTGGAATCTGTCATAGTTTAGAGTTAAACTGCTTCAAGACCCTGCATGTGGACACTGCTGCCTTTTGAACTTTTGTCACCTCATCAAACTTGTCTAGGAATAGTTATTTATTAATGAATTGGTTTGAAATAATTGCTTTTCCATTAGTGAAGTGAAGATACAGATGTGAACTGCTTACTGCAAACATTTGCTGCAGGTACAGTATATGCAATGTAGAAGAGTTGAACTTGTAACTCAGAACACAAGGCTTTGAGGTTTCCCCTTTAATATATGCAATTAGGAGATGCAGAGTAGTGGCACTTTTATGTTCTCTACTACTGACTTGCCACTGGATATCTGTGGAAATTAAAGTCTGAGTGCCTCTCTTGGAATTTTAAACATCAGGTTGATCAACTTGTAACGGTGTCTTATCTTATCTCAGACTCACCAAGGAGCTGTAAATAGCAAAGGAAAAAGGATCATGATGAAATGTCTTTGGGATGCTCTACCTTAATCCTGTTCTGCTTAACTTCTGAGCAGGACTGGGCAATCTTTTTCTAGACCTCAATGTTTACTATTTAAACTGTGTATTTAGAAAGGAAGCAGGGACATGTGTAATTTTAGGTAGGGAAAAGACTGATGTCAAACAAGGTGGTAGCTTAGAGCTGTTGAGTATTTCCTCACTTGAAATGATACCGAAGTGCTAAATAATAACTTTTTTTAAAGTAGGTAGCATAGACTAAATGTCTGACTTGTACCTGTGTTTTACTCCAGGTGTGTGGTGTCCTCTGTTCTGACCAATGGTTTCACAAATAGTTAAAATATAATTTTTTTCAAGGTATTTCTGAAGTAAAAGCTACCTCTGTTAGTCAACATATTCTGTCTAGAGCTAGAACTCCATCATGCTTACATTAACATATACAAGAAAAATTTGTAAAAAGCTGCAAGTTCCTTCAGCATGCTACAGCTGCTTGTGCTGAAGTTCACTAGGTTTTATTTAGGAATCTGATGGTCTTTAGATTTAGAACATATTTACACAGTTAGATCCAGGAGATGTGAACAAGGTACGAGGTGACTGTGCTGTCTGCTTTCACTGTTGGCCAGCAGCAAGTGTCTCCTGTCAGCAGTTTCTTCAGAATTTAAAAGAGCCTGTGGTCTTGTTTCCAATCACTCTACCTCTACAGAGAGAAGGCTCTGAAAAGTTCTTGGCAGAAGGCACATCCTGCTGTGTGTTCAGTTTGGTCTGAAGCTGAGCCCCTGCTCATCAAAGGTTTCCCTTCCTTTCCATTCCCAGGATGTGAGCAGAGGCTGAGGCTGGTGCTGTCAGTGAAGGTACTCACACTGCAGCAGGGTTCATGGCTGTTGATGTAGCTTGCCTGCAGCACAGAACTGGGTCTGTTTCCTTTAAATGAGGTAAAAAACTTGTCATCATGTCAGGTATCAGTACAGACCTCTGCCAATACGTGTTCCTGAAAGTCCTCTGAGTTGTTGGGGTAATCATGGGGCTTTTGGTGCCTACCCCACACCACTGGAACTGGGAAGCTGCCGTGTATGAATGTGGGAAAATTAGGTTGCAATTAGCTAAATTTGCCTTTATTCTCCAGCACAGCTGTAGGCTAAGCATAATCATCAAACCTGTTTAAAAAATATTGCAGGGTGTAACACTTATGTAGAGTTCCTCATTTAAATCCACTGTAATGTGTACCCCAGGTGATGCTGATTTGAAAGAGGAGAATGAGACTGGGGATTTGGGGAACTGTCTGTGCCCCCGTCAGCAGTGGGATCAGCCTGAAGAGCTGCGGAGAGCAGGTGCAGCTCGGGACAGGCTCCACTCTCCCCTCTTTGGAGGAGTCCTCTCTCCTCCTCCTTTTCTGCCACCTCCCCCCATTCTGCTGAAGCCTTTCCTGGATGGTTTTCCTCACTCCTCTTGGGCGCAGTAAACAGAGCCTTACATGTGCCTGCTGTGAAGTGACTTGGACTCAAAGGAATGACAGGAAAGACTCCTTTTGCTTGGGACATGAGGGACTCCTAGGAGACTCCTACAGGTGTAGTCATTTTGCATCTCAGAGACTTGTGCCTGGACAGCTGTAGTTTGCATGACTTCTGAGTGATGTAAAAGCTGCACAGCAGACCTTAGATCAGCTCAAACAGCCTGACCCCTAAAGCAAGCCCTTTGGTCCTGTCCTTACTGTCACTGCATGGGCAGTGCCACTGCAGGTGCTGCAGCTCGTGCCTGGGCAGCACAGGGGGCTCCTTGCATGGCTGAGGTGGGATGGACTGGGCAGTGAGCAAAGCCAGAGGGCAGCTGTGCACAGGGACAGCTGTGCTTTGTGGAACCCTGCTGTAACCTCATACTCCAGTACTTCACAATGAAATACTCCATACCTGGCATCAACTGTGCAGCTCTCAAAGAAAATCCAAATATTTATAGTTGAGGTCTGACTCTCGAGCTGTATTTATGAAGTTACACAGACACCAAAACCTCAGCTGGCTCACATAATAAATAAAAAGTGCTAGTTCTGACAGTGTCACAGATGGCTGGGAGGCAAAAATACTTCTGGAAAATGTTTAGAAATTGCCTTTTTTTTACTTTAAAATTGCAAGTAGAATTTCAGCAAGGCCTTGTTGTGTTGTCTTTTTTTAAAAAAATGTTCATTGATAAAATCAACTTTGATAACTTGTTTTGCATCGCTGTAGTATTTTGTATTGTTTTTAATTAAAATTATTAAAATATGAATGGCTGTCTAAATTATTACTGGGAACAGATCTACTGAAGGACTTAATGAGAGGGAGGACAGAGTAGAAGAAGCCCAAATACCTGCTTAGAAGTGACCCTGCTGACACTGGCAGCAGTCCAGCTTTTATTTCCATGTAAGCTGATAGATCCAATCCTCTATTGGTGAATATTCCCATTTTCCCTCCTTTAAACCAAACCAACAACATGCTATACACAAAAAGCAACACCATTCTACAAACACTTTGAGTATCAAAGGTTTTATTCAAGTAAAATAAATTAAGATCTTGTTTAGTTCAAGCTGTGTGACAGGTATACATAGCAACTGCTTCTTTTTAGATGAATATCTGCATGTGGACCTTGTCACTGAGGCCCTCATGGAGTCACTTGAAGCTTGTCTTATGTGTAATTTTACTTTTTGTATGTTAAAATTTGTTCCAAGAAAATTTCAATACCAGTGCTCCCAAAAAATTTAAAGAAAGGCATAAATGAAGCACAGAAATAAATATTTTGAATATTCATGGTGAAGTAACATACTTAACAACTATACTTATGAATGCTCTCCATTGAGTGGAGAATTGGGATCGTCACCAGAAGTCCCCAAAATATATTTCTATACATTATGACAAGTTTCACATTAAAGCAGAATAAACCAGCATTTTTTCCTTACATTTAGTAGCTTTAGTCGTGGCTCAAACTGGGACAAACCTGGGAGGTGCAGGTTGCAGTCTGAGGTCTCAGTGAGTGGGTGCTGCTTTTCTGTGGGGATGGGGCTGAGCTCTGGGGCTCTGGCAGAAGGGGAAGCAGCCCAAGGTGTTGAGGCACTTCCCCTCCAAGCCCAGGTGCCTCAGGAGCTCCCTCTGGCTCCTCATTCCTCCTGACGGAATGAATGCTAGGACACAACTCAGAGCACAGCTGACAGGTGAAGGAGTTTGGTACAGAACAAAATGACCCAAACATTTTTAAAGTATCCTGAATATTAGGGTAGAACTTTCCCAGGTCATTGTTATGTGAGGGTGTTGCTACAAATCCTGAATTTGGAAGAAACTGGGTTTTTTCTCCTGCCTTGTAGGAGAGTGAGCTGTGACTCTCTCCTGCATTCTGTTATGCAAGGGCAGCAAACCTGACTGACAGGCAGGTGAATTAAGGCTCAGCACGTGTTAAGACAGGAAAATTGAGTTGAAGTGTTTTATGCTAATAAATGCCTTCAGGTTACTTTTGTTTAACCACAGTTCATGCTTTTACTCTCAAGATGACAAACTCCAGCTCAAGGGCTAGTTGCTGATTTTCACTAGCCATGTTTTCCCAGGGAATGAGTCAGACTAATTGAAATGCCCTTAATTTTGTGCTCTTATTGCTTCATCTAAATCATCCAGCATCTCCTGCAGCTTCTGCAGGCTGGGGTGGACATTCTCCTCCATCCATTCCTCTATAGCACACCTGTGGAAAACTTGCTCCATGGCAGCTTGCAGGTCTTGCACCACAGCATTCCACTTGGAGAAGAGCCTGAGCAGAAGGGAGAAGAAGAAACAAAGACATTTGCAGGTGAGCTCTGCCTCAGGGGAGGGTTGGCTTACTGGCCTTTGGGAGGGAGTACTGCCCTTAAAACCACTTTACAGGAAAAGAACTTCTATTACAAGAGCCCAAAGGACTTGATTTTGTTCAGATGGCAAAAGCTTGATGCTGTTTCTCTTTAAGTTCCATTAATCTTGGCACTTTCCTCATGCCAAGACTTTTCAAGTACCAAAATGTGAGCTCAGAAAAACACTACACACATTTTAAGTGTAACTGAAACCCACTGTGAGACTTGTTGGGAATTTAATTCTGGGTTTTATCGGAAAGAAGTAGATGAGGTTGGATATTCACCTTATCACAGGAAAAAAACAACAACAACAACAAAAAGGAAATAAGTATAAATGAACCTTTTAGCATGAATTGGCAAAATGTCTAGGACAAGTTCTGAAAAGCCCAAGGTGACAGGGAGCAGGGGGAAGGGCCTGGCTTTAGTCCAAGGCCTGCTTAAGGTGCAGCAGGGCTGTACAGGACTAACAAGGGAGAGGCTTTTGGAGACCAATTTTGTACTTGTTCTCAAAGAATTCATTCAACAGAAGGCAAAGACAAAATTAGAATCATGGAATGGTTTGTGTTGGAAGGGAACTGTGAAGATCATCTAGTTCCAACCCAAACATGTTGCATAAAACATATTATGGATACTTTGTCTGACTCCCACTGATGTTTCTGAGATAATTATAGGAAGAGGTAAGGCTCACAGCTCTCTGTACCTGAGTGCCCAGAATAGATCAGATTTTATTTCCCCTGTAGTGCAAAGCAAGTGCTGTTACCTGACTGCATCTGGCTGCAGGTGGTGCACTATGATAGGATGAATAATCTTCTTTTTCCTGTGGTAGGGGCTGAACCAGCCTGTGGCATACCTGCAAATGGGTGTTGGTGGGAGCAGTGATGAAACAGCAGCAGCATCTGTTTGTCACTGCCAGGGAGGCTTTAGCTGAACTCTGCACAGAGATGCTTAAGGAGTAAGTTTATTTCAGTCTACAGATCTTTGGAATTAGCTTGTGAAAGTGTTCCTGGCAGATATCTGCTGCAGTGTAAGTTTTATTTCAAGTTCCTTTCTTTTTAAACTACACCATTCAAATTTTTCATTGTAACTTTAAATAGCAGTAAAATGTAATGAAGGAAAGAACTGTATGCTTCAAATAAGGCAGCATACAGTTTAGGAACTTCGCTAAAATATTTTAAATTTTGATGTAAATATTATTTTCTGCTGAGGTGTCAGTGACACCTGAAATGCAGAGCTTGATATTTAAATCACTTTTCTGGAGTTGTGCCCCACTTTGAGATGACACAGCTCCAACACTGCTGCAGCCAGGCAGAGAATCAACAGAAGCCTCATTACCTGTTCCTTTCGAGAAGTTCATCCACTGATGACTTGAGGTGGAAGCTGATTTCTGTCACAAGGGTGAGGATATTGCTCCCAGGAAAGGTCCCCACACTTGGGCTGTCCAAAGAGGATCTGTTAGTTGCTGAACTTACCACACAAGGAGCACCACCTGAACTCTGCAGCTGGAATGTTACCTCATGAAAGTATCAATTTCCAGGTTAGGCATTCCCAGGAGGATTTCCACATTTTCTTTAATCTTTTCAGAATATCCACCTGGCAGAAGAGAGTGGGAATGAGTGAAGGAGCCTAAGGAACCAAAATGTTCACACAGAAGGGTTTTCTGGAGTATTCTGCCTTGGCTTAGTAGTTCCCCTTTGGTGAAGAATTTTTTAAAAGGTGAAATGGAAATAAAAGAAGGAAGAAACACTGGTGGGTGGGAGGAGGAGCTCAGTGTCTTGTGCAAGGTGAGCACTTCCTAGCTCTGAGCTTTCTGTTCAGGGTGCTGAATATTCTAGTGCCTTAATTAAAAACCAGTGGATTGTGGGGGTTTATTTGAAAATAAGAAAAATATTGTTCATAACTGCCTGAAAGAAAGCAGAAACTACAGGAGGTATTTTACCAGACAGTGTCATCTCTAGATCCATTTTAAGAAAAACAATTAGTTAAAACAACTTTTACACACGAGCATGTTCTAAATTAAACTAAATGAGGCTAACTTATATATCACTATTGATTTAAGTAAGTTTAAAAAGCAATTCTGCATCTTAAATTTATTTTTTAATATAAGCATGAAGTTTTTAACCCTTTGTGTGTAAGACAAATGAAGAGGATACAATGGCTATTTTTAAACACTTAAGCCAAGAGGCTTCTCTGCTCCCATATTGCAAGTTGTAATTTATTCATAATTCAGGCCATGATTAATTCATCAAACCATCTCAAAATATAACAAGCCTGTGCTAATCTTAGGGGCAGATCACTCCTGTGCTAGGCATTATCTGAGAGAATAAAATTGTTATTGTACCATGCTTTACTGTCTGCAGACACACGGCCAGGGATGGAATTGCCACAGGGAGAAGCTCACACAAAACAGAGAAGTGATCATACCTACACAAGAAAACATCCATTAATTACACATTTTACTGTTAGAGCAGACTAAACAAGTGGGAAGTTTTAATATTTCAATCACTACAATTCAAAGAGCTTTAGAAACATCAGTTTCTGCCTCAGAGAAGAGATCACTTATCTCTGAAATGTGAAGTATTCCTCTTTTACTAGTAAGAGCAGATGAAAACCAAATTCTCTTCTCAAGGCAAATTAGGGTCAGAAATTGGACATCAGCTCTCTGGTATTCCCTACTCCTGACTGCATAAAAATGTTTTACTCCTTCATTACATTAACAAAATCTTGTCTCTTAAGTGATTTCAAAGTTTTTGAGTTCCCATCAGACATTCAGATAGACACACCATGCATGAACTACAGTGTCTATGAGCAGTTCAAGATCCACTCCAGCCTTCCAACCCAATCTGCTGCTGGTGGTGTCCCCAAAGCCACTGCTCCTGCTGGTTAGAGCTCTACAGCTACCTGCAACTCTGAAATCCACCTTCACACCTGGGGTGAGGCCCAGCAGTGACAGACAGAAGAACTGCAGGGTGGCAGTGTTCCCTTCTAAGCCCCCAGCCTTCCTGTACCTCCTGGGGAGCTTTTGGGTGGAAGTTGGCTCATGTGTGACCCTTGGAAGCACACAGGGGCTGCTGCTCACCTCTGCCAGCCGGTCAGCGCGATCCCTTCCAGGACATCAGCAGGGCTCCTGCTGGCCACCTGCAGCCACTCCAGCTGGTTCCTGAGGTGGTGCCCGATCAGGGTGAGAGACTGGTTCACTCCCGTGGCTCCCTTGAAGGCACTTGCCAGCCACACCTTGGAGAAGCCACACCTGCGGTACTTCTCTATCAGCTGCACTGCAGGGACACACAAAGGGCAAGCTCAGGATGAGCCTTCTCCAGTTCCAGCCCCTGCAGTGCTGGTGGAGGGAAACACAGCTCCAGATCCACCAGGCTGCTGAGCCTTTGGAGCACCAGCAGGGATGGGGGGTTTGACACCCTCTCTGAGCAGCCTTTAGAGTGGCTGTCCTCCTATTCTCATGTGTGGGTTACTGTACTCCACTCCCTTGTCTTGCTACCACGCTAAAAGCTGTGAAATTGTAACAAGCATGCACAACATCTGACAGCTGATTGTTCCTGCAACAAAGGAATATTTGCATGAAGGTTAGATGCCTGGCAGGAGCCTTCAGGAGCTTCCCTCTGAATTCTATAGATGCATGAAGCCCTGAAGCTTCTTTTGCAGAGCTCTTCAATACAGAGTTATGTGCTGCTACTGGTGTTGATGCAAGGAGAATTAATGTAACAGTGCTTGTGGAAAACCTCTGAATCTCTCATCAGTGATTCCAAAGCTCTGCTGAAAAGAATTAAGCAGCCTACAATGCAAATCATTCATAGGGAAAACATAAATAGAAAAAGAAAATAATTAATAGCAACTATGATGTGAAATCAAACAAGGGTGTCTTTATGCTATTAAGGCAATAAAAACCAATTCAATAAACTTGAATGTTTTGGTGTCCAGCTAAGGTAGGTTTTAATAATAATTTTGCTTTGGCTATTTTGTTTCTACCCAGCTCAGCAGAGAAGTACAAACCTTTTCCCCCCACGTTGATGTCTGTTGCATAGTCCCAGATCATGAGCTGCACCAGCTGTGGGACCCCGGACTCTGAAAGGAGCAGAGCTCTTCTGAATCATGGAGAACAGCAGCTTAAATGAGAACTCAGCACAGGTTACTGCAACTCAGGCTTAAATGAGAACTCAGCACAGGTTACTGCAACTCAGGCTTAAATGAGAACTCAGCACAGGTTACTGCAACTCAGGCTTAAATGAGAACTCAGCACAGGTTACTGCAACTCAGGCTGTCACTTACAGCTGAAGTGCCCCTGGGCATTTTCAGCCTGGCAGGATTTGCACATGCCCAGGGCCACTGGCATGGTGAAACCATTCATCTGAAGGAGCAGTGCCAATTTCTCAGAGACTCCAGTCACCCCAAGCCCACCTCATTTTTAGCTCCTTGCATCTGTTACCAGCTGGGTTCCACTGGCAGAGCCACAAGAGGAGATTTAGCTGGATTCAAATGCAACTTTTCCCCTTTCATTTACAGAGTGCCTGGGCTGTGTTTGCACAAAACATAGCTTCTCAAGTAAAACTGAAGACACAGATTTAGCTTTAACTAATTTTAAAATCAACTCCTCAGCTAGTTTTAAACATGTGAAACTGACCCCTAGAGAAACTGCAGTAAATTGTGCAGAAATTCAGTATTTTAGCTCCACCACATTTTGTTTATTCTGTTATTATGGCAGTAGAGTGCACTTAGAGTGCTGTATGGTTCTGGTGGAAATTCCAAGGGTCCCACCTGCATTTTTTGGGATGATTTCCCACTATCAAAGCCTTGAATAGGTCAGTCACTGTTGGATGAGCTGCACAGCCCTTCCTGGCACCATTAAATCTGTTTACAGCAGCCATGTGAGGTGGCTCTGAAAATTCTGGAACTCCATCTGTGCTCAGACCACTCCAATTTTAGCACTGCTTTGATATTTTTCCACAAACAAGACTTGTGATGTCAAGGTCTTGGAGCTACCCCACAATTCAGTATCACAGTCCTCACAATTTGCACCATGATCACAAAGATGCTCACAGGGCTGCAGCTTCTCTGTGTGAGTTTGCACCACTTGGGATCAGCTGCTGCAAAGGGCAGCAATGAACATCAGAAGGTGGTGAGAGGCACGGAGATTTTAGCCTTGGACCACAGATGTTAATAGGTTTTTGTTTTGTTTTAATATTGGTTGTTGTTTTAATGTGTAAGGAAAGTAGAATTGATGGCAGCCACTGCAGGGTGTGCATTTTGTGATTGAAAACTGAAGTGTTCAGACTGGCCCACACTCACACAGGGCCTCTGTGGCAGCCAAGGACGGAGTGCTTCCATTCTCTAGTCAAACAAACCACACCTCAACTCTTGCCACATCTGTTGTTTCCACTACATTCAGCTGCCAACCAATCTGTTCAATGTGTGCAAACCTCACCCCGTGGCTGGTCACACACCTGCCAGTGTTTCCTCACTTATCCCCCTGAGCATGTCGTCCCACACGATGGGTGTCACCGTGGGGTAAGACCAGGCCAAACAAGTGGCAACTGCTTTTATGTGGGACAAGCACAGCTTCTCTGGAGTGTTGTTTTGCTGCTGCAGCCACTGCTTTGACTCCTCTCCTTGGCCAAGGTAGTAGACCTGAAACACCAAGCAAATCATCCTGACTTCTTGTACAGAAATAAAGTGAGGTAGACAATATTCAAAACCCTGCTCCAGATGTGGCCCACTGAGTGGACACATTCCAAAGCACCTCTCAGTGCTGACAACACTGCAAGCACTTCCACCAGCCTGCAGGAGACTGTGGCCATGATTACATGCATCACCTGAGGGAATTTTCCTAGAAACACTAAAATAACACTATGCCATATTTGCCTTTGGAGTGTTTGTCCTCTCACCACATTTATTTACTTCAAATCCAGCAATCCATCAGGACCTGAGGTAGGTAAAATGAGGTTCCTGTCTTGGGGGAGATCATCCAAATGTGAGTGGGGCCATGTCCAAGGGTGGCCCAGGATACTTGGTCCCATGCAGAGAGGGAATTAAAATTTGCTGGTTTAGAGCAGGTTTTTTTATTCTACATAAATAGTATTTTGCTTTATAACAGCTCCCTGTCTAGCCTTCCCACCAGTTTGAACACAACAATAAACTAATATCAGTACAGTTAAGTGGTCATAATGAATTCCAGGGATCTGTGTGCCATCAGGATGGTTTTAAGAAACTATGAGAAAGAGAAGCTTGAGTTTTTTCCTTCTCAAGGAAACAAATTACCAAGGTAAAAAACCCAACACTTCCAATCACAGAAGGGTTTACTTTGAGTAATTTGCCCAGAACAATGAGCCAGTATCTTACACCAAACTTACAGGATTCCTAATGAACAGCTCTAATTGATATCTCACTACAAACACTCACTTGACCTAAACCCAAAATCTGTTGGCTTTAAGAAGCTGCTTTCAATACTTTGATATTACACTCGTATCTATGGAAATGACAACTTGTGCTACTGGAATAATTTATTGGCAAAAAGACGTTTCTACACTGGCTTCTGTGGTGTTCTGTCCCCAAAATCCCACCCAAACATGGCCTGGGCACTGCTAAAATGCAGAAGCCTTAGCCCTTGCTATGATTCCTCAAAAGAAAAGCAACATTCCCAGCTCAAGGGAAGTCCCACCTCATCACATCCGATGTGGAACCACTGCAGGTCCTCGTGCAGGGCCATGACCTGGTCAATCATGGCTTTGACCAGTGCCAGCGACTCCTCCTTGTGCGGGTTCAGGGCGTTGGGCAGCTCCTTCACCTCCCGCAGGTGGGCAAACTCCCTGTGCTTCAGCACAAACTGCAAGGGAAAGGGGAGCTGAGAGGGGGCAGCTGCCACACCAGGGGACAGCAGTGTCCCCAAGGCATGGCTCTGGGGGCAGGGGTCCTGCTACACCTGGGTTTGGCTTGGCTGAGCCCCAGGGACGGGCTGGGGGCTCAGCTGCTGCTCCATGCTGCTGGGGGGGCTCTGAGCAGTGGGTGAAGGAAACAGGGAGGTCACTGCAGTGTGACCCTGATGTCAAACCCTGCAGCTGGCAGAGCTGGATAACCAGAGCACTGGGACTTGGATTGGAAATTTCCAGCAGAGAATCCCAGAATGGGTCAGGCTGGAAAGGAGCACAGGGGCTTATCTGGTCCCACCTCCCTGCTCCAGCAGGGCCAGGGCTGTGTCCAGAGGGCTCTGGAATATCTCCACTCAGGGAGACTCCACACCCTCTCTGGACAACTTGCTCAGGGCCTGGGCACTGCACACAGAAGTTCTGCCTCGTGTTCAGGAGGAACTTCCTGAAGTTCCAGTGCTCCAGATGCCACCAGGGCTGAGCAGAGGGGCAGGATCACTCCCTGCCCAGCTTCCAACGCTCTTCCTACTCCACCCCCAGATCCCACCAGCTCTGCTGCTCCCCAGGCACTGCTGGCTCAGCACACCCCCCCTCACCCAGCCCAGCTCACCTCCATGTGCCCAAAGCTCTGCACCAGGGGCACCACGTCCAGGCCCTGCGCCCGTGCCCAGCCCAGCAGCGCCTGGAGCTCCTCGGGGCTGTGGAGAGGGATGTCAGAGCCCGCTGGGCACGGCCCGGGGCGCCTGCGGGCACCCAGAGCTGCCTGAGGGAACTGCTGCTACCTGTAGGCGTGGGGGGCCTGCAGCACCTGCAGCGGCCCCGTGTACGGGAAGGTGTCCTCATACTCCAGCAGCAGCCCCGTGGCACCCAGGGAGCGCAGCAGCGGCAGCAGCTGAGGGGGGACAGGGGGACACTGGGGATGCGGCTGGGCTGGGAGCGGGGCCACCACCTGTGCCCTGTCGCCTGCAGCAGGTGTGTCCCTCACCTGAGCCCAATAAATCCTTCACCCATAGCAGGTGCATCCTTCAGGTGAGCCCAGTACGTCCCTCATCCGAGCCCAATACATCTTTCAAGTGTGCCAGAGACATTCTTCACCCATACCAGGTACATCCCTCACCTGAGCCCAACACATCCCTCACTTGTGCCAGATAAATCCCTCACCTGCTCCAGGCACATCCCTCACAGAGCTCTCTCAGGTGCACCCCTCACCTCCCTCAGCTTCACCCCTCATCTACACCAGGTGCATTCCTCATCTTCCTCAGGTTCACCCCTCACCTGCCCCAGTCACATCCCTCACATCCCTCAAGTTCACCCCTCACATCCCTCAGGTTCACCCTGCACCTGACCCAGGCACATCCTTCACCCCCCTCAGGTGCACCTCTCACCACTCTCAGGTGCACCCCTCACCTGCTCCAGGCACATCCCTCACCTCTCTGAGGCTCACCCCTCACCTCCCTCAAGTGCACCCCCCACGTCCCTCAGGTTCGCCCCTCACCTGCCCCAGGAACATCCCTCACCTCTTTCAGGTGCACCCCTCACTTGCCCCAGACACATCCCTCACCTCCCTCAGGTACATCCCTCACCTCTCTCAGGTTCACCCCTCACCTGCCCCAGACACATCCCTCACCTCCCTCAAGTTCACCCCTCACCTTTCTCAGGTTCACCCCTCACCTGCCCCAGACACATCCCTCACCTCCCTCAGGCTCGCCCCTCACCTGCTCCAGGTACTGCGCGCGCGGCGCGGCGCCCTTCAGGTCCAGGTGCACCAGGCGCCGCCACATGCTCTGGTCTCGATTGCTTTGGCCTGTTGCCGTGGCGTCCCCGCACACCCCGCCCGGCCGCACCCCCGTGCCCCTGCCCCGCTGTCCCGGCGCTGCCCGCCCGCGCCCCGCTGTCCCGGTGTCCCCTTGTCCCCCTGTCCCTGCGCCGCCCGCCGGCACAGCAGGTACCAGCGCGGGGCCCTGGCCGTCACCTCCTGCCCGCTGTCCCGGGGGCGGTGGCGTCCAGGCCCGGCGGCACTGCGGCTCCCGGGGGTGCCGCGGTGGGGAGGCATTCGCACGGCGCCGGGCCCGGGAGCGGGAGGGAAGCGCGTGTGGTGAGCTCCGAGCCGGGCATCCCGCGGGGAAAGGGCCCGCGAGGGATCCATGTGTGTTTGTAACGCGTGTGTTCTGCTCCGAGCCGGGCATCCCGCGGGTGAGGGCCCGGAGGGATCCGTGTGTTTGCAACCCGCGTGTTCTGCTCCGACCCGGGTTCCCGCGGGCCCGGGGCTCCCCGCTATCGGCCAGAGCCGTCCCTCCCCGCTCACGGGGCCCGTTCTGTGCTCGCTCCGCAGCTCCAGGAAGGGCAGACTCCAGCAGGATCCCCGAGGAACCGGCTCTGCGCTGGATCCTTCCACTCGCTCTCGCAGCCGAGCGCGCTGCCCAGTCAAGCAGGCCGGCAGGCCAGGGCGAGGCGCGCCGAGCGCGTCGCTCGAGGCGGAGGAGGCGCGATGGCTCCGCAGCGGCGGGCGCTGCCCCGCGGCCCCGAGAGCGCCGGGTGGGGAGGCATTCGCATGGCGCCGGGCCCGGGAGCGGGTGGTGAGCTCCGAGCCGGGCATCCCGCGGGTGAGGGCCCGGAGGGATCCGTGTGTGTTTGTAACGCGTATGTTCTGCTCCGAACTGGGCATCCCGAGGGTGAGGGGCCGGGAGGGATCCGTGTGTTTGCAACCCGCGTGTTCTGCTCCGACGAAAGGGCCCGCGAGGGATCCATGTGTGTTTGTAACGCGTGTGTTCTGCTCCGAGCCGGGCATCCCGCGGGTGAGGGCCCGGAGGGATCCGTGTGTTTGCAACCCGCGTGTTCTGCTCCGACCCGGGTTCCCGCGGGCCCGGGGCTCCCCGCTATCGGCCAGAGCCGTCCCTCCCCGCTCACGGGGCCCGTTCTGTGCTCGCTCCGCAGCTCCAGGAAGGGCAGACTCCAGCAGGATCCCCGAGGAACGTGGCTGAAGGCAGCGATCCTCCTCCTCCTCGCCGCCGCGGCCGGCGGCGGCCTCGTGGTGTGGAGCGGCCTCCGCGGCCAGGACGGGATCCCCGAGGGTGGAATCTCCACAGATGAGATCCCCGAGGGTGGAATCCCCGCAGAGGAGGTCCCCGAGGTGCTGGCCCGTCGCGGTGACACCCTGCAGGGCCGGTTCATGGAGGTGCCCTGCTCGGAGGACTACGGGAGCCAGCGGCGCTTCGCAGGTACCGGGCAGGGCTGCGGCGGTGCCCGCGCTCGGCCGCTGCCTTGGGCTGCAAATCTCCCGAGTTTGCAGCAAACCCCTGGTCACTGTCTCTTGCCTAAAGCCCCAAGTGTTCGTGCCCCTCGGGCCAGCCCAGAAATTGATTCTGAGAGGTTTGTTTCCCTTCTGAAACTGCTTTGCAAGGGCTCTATGAAATAAAGCTGCTAAGTGTGTTTCTGGTTTGTTTCCATACTCTGTTGATTCCTGGGTGAGTTTGCTGCTGCTCAGGACCACACAGGGTATGGAGTGGCACTGATGCAGGACACTGTGCCACCAGCATGTGGGACTGCACAAGTGCCAGCTTTTGACACATTCAATGTTCTGTGTCTGCTAATGCCAATGGTCTGCCTGCAGAGCACTTTTCTGTCTTTGTGTCTTTCTGCTGAGCCTGTTTTCTGTCAAAGTGTTATCTCTTCCCCCAGCACTTATTTCTTTGAAGTGTTGAGGTTGGTTCTTCAAGAGACATGGAAGATTTTAATCTTCTCTGACAAAGAGCAGTGTGAGTCTGACTTGCAGCTTCCATGGATGAGCAGTGCTGATGTTCTCTTTCATTTGCACAGTGTGTTGTGATGAACATTTTTAGTTGGTACAGCTGCCAGGGAGCAGCTCTGCCCTTGGTTTTTGCCAGTATGTCTGCCTGTGTGTTGACTGATAAGATGTTGAATCTAAAAAAACCAACTTCTGAGTTAGTTTTTAGCCAAATTGGTGATTGTATCTGCCTCATGATGTGGCTGAGAAAACGCTGACACGAGGCTGGAAGAAACTGCTGAGGAAGAACAAAGGTGATCAAAGGACTGGAGAACCCATCCTTTAAGGAAAACCTCAGGGAGCTGGGTCTCCTTTCCCTGGAGAGGGCTCAGGGAGAGCACACTGCAGTATTGCAGTGCTTAAAGGGAAGCTGCAGAGGACAGAAGCTCTGTAAGGAGCTGCACAAGGCACAGTGGGTGCAGGTTGCACTGGGCAAGATCTCATCTTGATATAAAAAAATTTACAGAGAGAACACTCAGGAACAGCCTGCCCAGGGGTGCTGTGCAGCCCCTCTGGCTGAGGCCATCCCACCAGTTATCCTTTTCATTGTTTTCTTTCTATTCCTTCCTTTTCATCCTGTCCTTTTCACTGTAAGGAAGGCAGGAACAGGAATGAAGGTGTTCTTTATTTTTGGGGGTGTCTGGGGAGCAGCAGCAAGTGCTGGCTGCAGGGTGAGGTTTCACCTCTTGGCTTTGTGTGGGGATAATTGACTCACCTTTCTAATTAGGTGTTTGTTTGGTCTTGCTGCTTAAGTTCTGTGATTGATTTGGGGTTTTATTGATGTTTTTATTTTTAATTTTATTTCATCTATGTTGTGACCATGCTTTTGAGGATCCATCTCTTAACTGGTTAATTAAAGCTGAGCTGTGATAACTTTCCCACGAGAGGGTGGTGATGAGCTGTGGAGGAGTTTTTCTGTATCCCATTCCCCACAGCCAAGTCAGGAAGAAAATGTGGATTATGGATCAGCTCAGCAGCTTCAGGCACTTGGAAATAGGTTTCTGTCACTCAATAGCTCCTCATTCTCAGTCTTTAGCCTGGTTTGGCACCCTCAGCTGCAGGCTCTGTGTCAGGAGGAGGCACATTCCTGTCACCACTCAGTGTCTGATGCTCAGCTGTGAAGTTTCCACGGCTAAAATGAGCTTTTTATTTATGCACCTGTCCCTGCTTCCAGCTGAACTTGGTGCAACTGAGCTTCCAGTTTGCTTCAAGTGATTTGGTAGCTGGTGTCAGAGCAGGATTTATTCCCTTAGCACTGCCTGCCTGTGAATATACTTCATACCAAATAAAAGTTGCTATTTTTCAGAGGCCAAGCACTTAACTTACTATATTTTCAGAAGGTGGGTGTTATGTGAGCACAGTCCCACCTGCACTCTAAACTCTGGGGGCAGATTTTGGCCATTTCTGCTCTCCTGAGACACAGCTAACTGCTTAAACCTGCTGTGGCCACTGTGTGTGGTGAAATCTTATTTCTGCTGTGTGTTGGCATTTTGTGTCAGTGCACAAAGCATCCGTGGGCACTGCCCAGGAGACAGAGTTAAAGGCACTGCCCAGAGCCAGATTTAAGGTGTTTTTCCAGAGACAAGGCCAGGGATGTGGAAAGGTCTGACCCAGCCTGCTGTGGGGATGGCAGCTGTCAGTCTCTGCCTTGGAGAGGGATTGTTCCTGCCCAGGAGGAATGAGATGATCTCCAAAGTCCCTTCAACCAGACTGTTCTGTCATCCTGTGCCTCAGGGGAAATCTTAGCAGAGCTTTTCTCCTGTGAATCCTCTCTGGCTCAGCAGTGAGTGCTTCTTGGTTAAATTCCACTAAAGCTGCAGTTTGGGCTCTTGGTCCCTTGTGTTACGTTCTGGTTTTTGTGCTGAATGGCCACAGGGGCCAGTGGCACTGTTTTACATATTTACATGTTTTACTTGTGTTTCACATATTTTGGTATGTTCCTCCTTTACCTTGATTTACCTGATAGCCAGAGCTGATGGTGCCTTATCAGATAAAGGACCAGATCAGATAAAGGTTTTCAAATCATTTTTTCCTCCCCTTTTTTTACAAGTACAAAATTTTACTATATAGCACCCACTTTTTACAATTTCTCTGGACACCATAACAATATTAAAAAAACCCAAGCAAGAACAATTAATATCTCAGCAAGCACAGACAATTTTGCTACTACAGGCTGAGCTGGAAGCTCTCTTTTGCTAGAGGGGAATTGCAGCCATTAATTCTTTCAGAATATAGTAACGATATATAAAAAAAACCCAAAAAAACAAGCAAGAACAATTAATATTTCAACAAGCACAGACAATTTTGCTACTACAGGCTGAGCTGGAAGCTCTCTTTTGCTAGAGGGGAACCTTAGCCATTAATTCTTTCAGAATATAAACTTTAATGAAAATTAAGAGCCAAATGGTATGCCAGGTTCCCTTATGCCATACTTCTCAAAAAAAGCAATATTTTTTCTAGAGATACTCAGTGAACCAAGCTCATCTTGAGTTAGTGGTAGCTGAGGAAATATGACAACTCTGAAAATCACTTTCTTCTGAGTACCTCAAGAGAACTGAAATAAAGGGTAATAACTGAGATAAAGGGATGGTTTTGTGTCTGCTGGGCACAAATTTGTGGAAGCTACCAGGTACCTGCAGTATTTCCGAGTACCTCAAGAGGAACTAAAATAAAGGATAATAACTGAGATAAAGGGATGGTTTTGTGTCTGCTGGGCACAAATTTGTGGAAGCTACCAGGTACCTGCAGTACTAATCTGAATTTCTCCTGAGATTCTGCAGGTGTGCCTTGGACTCTTCCTTGCTCACGTGTGCCATGGTCTCTGAGGCAGAGAGGACACTTTTCTTAGTGCTGAAATCACTTTCAAACAGACTGGTCTGATTTTTCCTGAGCATTCACCCACTGTTGGTACCTGACTGGCTTTATGCTGGACTACATTCTTCTGTTTGTTGGAGTTTTTTCTCCATTTGGGAAAGCTTGTGCTGTTGTTTTCAGAACACCTCCTGTTCCCAGTTCTCTGTCAGAGACCCCAGACGTGTAACAATTGTGTGAGGTTTTGTGGTTTTGCCAAGCCTGGATATTTGCAGCTGGAAAAGGAACAAATCTTGTCTGAAATCAGAAATCTTTGCTGAATGTTGTAGAAAAGAAGCTCTCAACAGTCAGGTTTGCCCTGGAGTATTGAATTTCTCCTTTGAGTTTGCTCTTCTGTACTTGAAAATCAACTTTCCCTTGCAGCCCACCTGAGACATAGCTGGTGTATATCCAGTAATAGGAAATGGAAATTCCTGCAAAATTCCTGGCAAAACTTCTCCCATCTGCCTGGTCCTTGTTATGAGCTGCCTTTTATCAAAGCAGAGTGATGCTTTTGTCCTCCATGGGTGAATTGATGCATTTCATTCCAGGAATTCTGTGTTCTGATCAATAAATAACTCTTGAAGTGACAGTTCAGGAGCACTGAGTGTGTTGGCAGTGTCAGAAACCCCACTCAGCCCCTCTCTCCTGGGGCTTTACATCTGTGAATGGATCTTCCTCAGAAAAGTGCCAAATGTAACATCCCAAGGTCTCTGGTGGCTCAAAACTGATTTTATTTCTTCTTCTTGCCTGAAGATTGTTGTCAACCAGACTTATAAGGACTTTCATATATTCTTCACCTGGAGCTCCTGCTGCTGACTTGTAATTCCCAGAAGCTTTTAAAATTTAATGTTAGATTTCTTAGCAGTGAATTTTAGGGGATTTTTTAAATTTTATATATCCAAGCTGTGTGCTTCAAGAGTGACTTCAAGAGAGGCTTTTGTGCAAAGTCTCATTTACAAACCTGCCCTTCAGGTGTCTGAAGTGGTTTCAGTGGGTTCTTTTCCTCTTTGTGTTGCAGGTTGCACTCCTAGGAAGTGTGGAAGAGGTGTGACAGATGCTGTAATCACAAGGGAAGAAGCTGAAAGAATTCGTAGGTAATTCTTCTTTTAGCTCTGACTTTTAAAAGCACTGACTTGAATGACATCGTGCCAATCTGAGGGGTAGGATGGGTGAGCAGGATGGCTTAGCCTGATCAAAACATGAAATTTTTGTTACTAAAGCCATTTTCCATTTTTACTGTAGTGGGGGCAGTTCTTTCACACAGAATCTGCCTGGCTCTGAGGGGCATGAGCACTTGACAGAAAGAAAGGAAAACGAATTAAATAAGTTTTAAAGGATTTTCACTTGGCCTTTAAAAGCAGAACAAAACAATGTAAGCCTTCTTGCAGCTGTGTGTCTGTCTGGGTAATCACAGCAGCAGTCCTCTCTGAAGGGACTGCTTTTAGGGTATTTTTGGGATTTTGGAAGGGAGCTGCAAGCTCAGAAATGTTCTGCAACACAAATACTTCATTTTCATGACAGGCTGGAAGGTTCAGTTTCCAAGAAACGGGAGCTGCTGTTAACTCATTAGAATTATACCTGAAGCAGCAAATCCCACTCTCTGGGGAGTTACATGTTGTAAATAAGGACATTAAAGACAAACTAATCAAACTCCAGTTCTCATCTGAGATTATTGTTTTGCCTGCAGAATAGCAGAGAGGGGACTGTCCTTGGGAGGATCTGATGGAGGGGTGAGCAGTGTCCTGTTATTTTCTACATTCTTTTACTGCCAAGGCAAAATTATAAATGCATTTTTTGGGGCTGAGGTGAGGAGGTGGAGATTTTTTTATGTCTGTTCAGACTTGGAAAATAATTGATTTGGAAAGTTGTAAAATAAATGTTATATTGTGAACCCAAAGGCTGGAAACTGCTTTTACTTGGGAGGCTGTGGAAAGTGAGAAGCAGCTTGGGACAGTTATTAAAGGTCATAGTTAAAATAATGCTAAAACATTTTCATGCTCATTTTTCTTTCTTTGTTTCCTTTTCCAGGCATCAATTTTGGACTTGCACTCTGGAGCTCTTTCCCTGGGGAAGCATTTTGTTAATCTGTACAGGTAAAATGAGGCTGTGGCTTCCTGCCTGCTGTCATTCCCTGCCCACTGCCTTTCCCAGTGCCTGTCCCCTGGGCTGGGAGTAGTGATGAGAAATTCTGGAGCTTGGCTGCATCCACCACGCTTTCCATGACCGTTTAGAGAGCTTTCCTGGCATGAAAAAGGATCTTTTGTTGAACTGGGCACGTGGAAAGCTGCCATTATCTTTATTTTTATGTTAATCATAGTATTTTTTCACAGTTATAGTTCAGTTTATTCAGCAGTGGAAGAAATCAAATAGCCTGAACCATTAAAAACTTGAATCCATGTGCTTATTTCATGATGTGGGAGGGGATTTTTTTAATGCCTGAGGAATGCCATTACCAGTTGCAGCATTTCAAGCCTTTAATCTTTTAACATTTGATCTTTTAGCATTGCTTTTAGACATAATGCTCTAAGCATTTGTAAGATATTTTTTTTTGTGTGTGTGTGTTGTTTTCACTTTTTCATTGGGGGTAAGGAGTTGTCTTGTTATTGCTCAGTGTGGTTCAGCAACTCCTCTTTTAGATTGTTGTTTAATTTTTCAGGTACTTTGGGGACAAAATTCAAGACATCTTCACAGAAGAGGATTTTGCCTTATACCGGTAAGGATTTTCAGTAACTGCTGAATGAACCACAAACCAGAAATTCTCATGGTTTTGAGTTTTTTGTGGAGTGCAGGCTGGGAGGGGACTGCCCTTTGCATTCATACACTGGATTTTGCAGCTCAAAATACCAATATCTGAGAGCTAAATGACTCGAGGAAGAGAAGTAAATGATTTTTTGGTGACTGATAAACAACATCAGCTGCTTGGAGCTGCATCAGCCACGTCAGGAGAGTTTTATGATGTGAATGTTTTTTAGGGTGATGGCAGCACCACACATTTCCCTCCCTCCCAGCAAGGAGAGCTGCTCCTCTGAGCTCTGTGGGGATTTGGGATGGAAAATCCTCATTACCTCCTCTCTCACACGTTATCCAGGGGGTTGTGTGAGATGATAGACACAATTTTGGGCTGTTATTACATCAGGAACTTGGGGGTTTTTTGAGGCAGAGTGTAGCAAAACATTAAAAATGGTAAAGCAGGAAGTGGAAGGACTTAGGGTGACTCATGTTCTGGCTGGAGGAGCAGCCAGGGGATGAAATAACTCTGATGGAACAGCTCTGGCACTGATGCTCCCAGCTTTCCTCAGCCCTGCTCTTGCCCTTCACACACACAACAAAGCCAACGAGTTCCATGTGCCTGGGAAGGTGTGTGGCCAGAGGTTGGGAACAAGCATTCTTTGTTGACTAGACACAATAATTCTTTGGTTATGCATTTCAGTTGGTTTCTCATAATTTAAAATGTGCCTGATTTGAATGTTTTAACTCTTTTTTTGGTCTTTTTTTTCCTTGCCTGTGTGAAGGAATCTGATCTCCCTCTAGTGGTGAAAGGAATGTTAAGTAGCCAAATGGCTTATTAGTTTTATTAAAATGGCAATTAATTAATATATCCTAAAATATTAATCACTTTAAGCTTATTTTTATTTAACAGCTGTTTTTAGATGTCATTGTCTTTATAGATGAACATCTTTAAAATGGTTTTACTTCTGATCCAAGTATTGTAAAAATTAGATGACTGCTTGATTATTATTAAACTTCAGATAATTTCTGTTTTACATTAACAGAAGCATTCAATTTTTCAATAATTTTATAAATTTATGCTGTGAGATGATACAGCTGCTAGGGAATGTCAATATTCCAGTGGGATTTCATGCCAGTACAGGGGATGTTTCAGTCTACTGGATAAGAAGCTAATATAAAATATATTATTAAATGCTTCTGTTCCTATTAATGGCAGTGCTTCAGCATGGACTGTAGTACTTTATGGCCCTAATGAATGATTTTATGCTATTTTTGGGAGCATTTGTCTTCATTACTTTACCAAGGTCACTTTAAAAATACCCTCTTGAGAGAAATAACTGAATGTAATTCATGTCTAAGTGTTACTGATTGCAACAATAACGGATCTGAGAAGGCATCCTGAGCCAGGGGGCTGATTTCTAAACTGTGTCTGTCAAAATTACATTGCTTCAGACTCAATTATGGTTTCTAGGCTGATGCTTTAACCATCATCTGCCAAGCCCATTACAGCAATCCCTCTTGTTCCACCCAATAAATGAAATGTTTTTTCAGGAGGGAGACCTTTAGGATGCTTGGTGGAAGGGGTGAGTTGAGCACAAAGATTTACTCCCCAAACCTGACAGCTGATGAAGGCAGGGACAGGAGGAGCAGGGAGGAGCTGAGTGTGCTTTCTGTGTCTGTGCTGTGTGATTGCTGTTAGAGCTCTCTGGCTGCAGGAGCCTCTGCTCTGCAGCTCCCTGGATGTGCTGACAGGTGGGATCAGCAGGGAGCTGTGTGGATTGAGTTTGAGTGTTCTGTCAGCGTGGCTGAATCACACTTTGCAGTGGCTCCTCTGCATTTTTTTGTGTTGGTCTGGCAGAGCCTGTGTCTCACAGAAGCTTTTCAGTGGCACTTTCAGCTCTGTGTGCTGCTGCTGCTTCATTAGGCTGGCAGCTTTGCAAGCTGGTGAACTTCCTTTCTTTCAGGTTGTGTGTTCCTTGAGCTTCCAGCTACTTCACTGGCTTGTTTTTTAATTTTCTTCCTCATCACTAGGAAGAAACAGTGATGGGTTTATTAGTTTTATTAAAATGGTAATTAAATCCTAGCTAGCTCAAAACAGTGACTTTTTACAGAATCTGGTGCTCATGTGCTCCTTTCAGGGAGTTCTGGTCTGCCTTTTTTATTTCCCAGTGACTCAGTGCAAATGGGCAGGGACTGCTGCTGGCAGATGTGGGGGAGCATTAATTTGGTGCTGATGCTGTTGGCTGGAGGCTGTTCCTGGGCATTTCTTACTCCTGCAGAGCTCTGTTATTGCACCTGCTCAGAGCCAGGGTACACCTCAGCAGTCTGAACAGATAAGAGTTGCTGTGCTTATGAAAATAAATGCTTCTCTAGCATGAAGAAATTTTTTTTTGTAGCCATAATCCACCAGAACTGTCCCAACAGTTGTGAAGAGCATAAGGAATAAGGGAAGGGAGGCTCCTGCTGCTTCTGGGTCATAGGGGCTGAGGGAATGATGTGGCTTTCTCAGTTTTGGACTCATTCATTCCTTTCTTCTGAGGTGATATTTGCCTTCTCTTGTCACTTGGTTTTCGCATGCAGGACAATGCTTCTGTCCTTAAGCATTTTGCCACTAGGTTGTGTTTGGAACAGCAGGGCAGGGAATGGAATGAAAACCTGCAGTCATGATATTGATAAATGTTGAAATGGCCTGGCCAGCAGAAAATAGACTGTACAGAAAAGTTTTTCTAGGCTAAAAAGGGACTTTATTCTACTTTTCAAACCTGTATTTGGCATATTGAGTAGGGCTTTGCATCCTGTTTGGTTTGTAAAACACACATTGTGCCCAAAGCCATTGCACATCAGTCTCCAAGAGGAGTGAAGCTTTAACAGAGCCTTACAAACACCAGACAGCAAACCTTAAAAGAAAGCTTTTAAAAGTGAAAAATGAATCAGGCTGAAAGAAGAGGGAGGACTCCTTGCAGAGCAGGACAACTGGGGAATTTAGTTATGTCAAGAGTGTGGCCTGGCTGCTTGGGAGGGGATTTATTCCTGGCTGGTGCAGGGGCCAGGGAATCAGCTGCTCTGCTGTTTGTGGCTGTGAATTCTTCAGCTGGCTCGTTCAGAGCTCTCCATTCACAACATGAATAATTGCATTTAATGCTTTCTGAGAGCCTTTCCTGCATCCTGCCCCTTGGAACAAGCAGACAGCAAAATCAGCCTCCCACAGCATGAGAGGAGGGAGCTGAAGGTTCTTTCCTTTTGCAAACTCCACCACTGTGTAGCTCTGGACTTCAAATCTCAGTTCTTGCAGGTATATATATATATCCCTAAAAATCCCTCTGACTTCATTTGATACTTTTTATATTTCACATGTAAAATAGCTCGAATTGACCCCTAAAAATGTAATGTGAGACAGGTTAAAAAATTAAATCTGTGTGTGTTATTCCTATTTGTTGTGAGGGACTGGGTGTGAACAGAATGAATATTTAGTATTTTTTAATACTTGTGGATTTTAAGAGATGGCTTTCACAGCATGTAGACACATACCATGGGTCTTGTTTGAATTCTGTCACTTCTTTTTAGTCACCATTAAAGGTTCCCTACAGAAATACCTGGGAAAAACTTCCTTGAAAGTTATGCTGAGGTTCAGTACTATTGAGTGGAGAACTGTAATGGAAGACACAAACCTACTGCAATAATTCCATGCACAACTTCAGAAATGTGTTTTCTCAGATTATCTTTTTTGTGCACTGTTGTTGTATAATTGTGAAAGACATATTTTTAAAAAATTCATTTTATTTCATTTTAAAAAATCTGGTAATAATACCAGTTCATATGTTGACCAAGAACCCTGAATTTGATGGTGCCATGGACTTCATTAGTTGGTTTAAAAGTAGTTGAAGGCTCTTCAGAGGCCACCCTTTTATGAAGATACAACTTTACTTTTACCTGCTTTGAATTAAGAATATCTGTGTGAAAGCCTAATGCTTTCAGCAGTTAACAAACAGTGGGATAGGTGTGGAATTACTCAGGAAAACAAACAGAAATTTTCAAACCTAGGCCACAGGAGACAAAAGTTTGTATTCCTTGATATTCTGACAATTAAAAAAAAAGAATCCAAAGAAACAAAATCCCTGGGGGACGTCTCTTTTTTCTCTTTTTTTTTTTTCTCTTTTTTTTTCTCTTTTTTTTTCTCTTTTTTTTCTCTTTTTTTTTCTCTTTTTTTTCTCTTTTTTTTCTCTTTTTTTTTTCTTTTTTTTTCTCTTCTCTTTTTTTCTCTTCTTCTTCCCCTCTCCCCTGATGTCACTGTCATGTTAAGAGCTGCACACTCCAAAGAGTTCAAATGTTTTTCCAAAGCTGAAGAAACATGGTAAAATGTGGAGCATTACAACATTGCCACTCTAATTTATCAAAAGTTTGGAATGTTTCTCAATATGTGTGAGTGGGAAGGCAGAAGAAGGCATTTTTGACATCTGTGATGGATGAGTGATGAAGGGCACAGGAGCAGCAGGAGGGAGCTGCCACTGCCTGAGCCCCGTGTGTTCTTTGCAGGGATGTGAGGCAGAGGATTCAGCAGAGGATTGCTCAGGTGTTTGGGATCAGCTCTTCTGCCCTGTACCTGACCAAGCCAACCTTCTTCTCCAGGATGAACAGCACAGCAGCCAAGACAACACACGATGAGTACTGGCACCCACACGTGGACAAGGTGAGGAGGGGGCTGAGGTGGGATGCAAACATCTGTTGTTATTATTAAATCACCTTGAAATCACTTTACATTTAAACAATCCATCAAACAGGTTTGAAAACTCAGCAGCCAGCATTCCAACAAATTCCAAGAGACCCTTGGGAAGAAGGAAGCTGGTGATCCTGCTTGTGTGAAGTGCAGTGAATTCATTGGTTCCTTACAGTTTTTCCACAGTTTAAGAGAATCAGATTTGACTGATTCAATCTGATCAGTCAAGATTGGGACAGGGGTGGGAAAAGCAGTATATTTCAACAGCTTATGCCTATTTTCTCCACTCTTTTATTTCAGCCCCCAGAAAAGCCTATTTTAGAATTCCAGACTGATTTATTACTGTAATGAGATTTTTGTCTGCCCAAGCCCTGCTTGCCAGAATTCTCTTTATTCTTCTCTGCATGTGTTTTGCATTGGGAAATGAACAAGGTGATTGGATAACCTCTCAATTAAGTGTTCCCACCTAAATATCTCCTATAATGTACAAGTTATTTTGTAATTTACATGCAAATAAGTTTACATGAAGAGAATTTGTGGAAGCTGCTTTTCTGTCCTGTCATCCTGAGAATGCCTGAACGTGATGGACAGCAGGCTGAATGTTTTCCTGTTTTTATCCTTCTCTTTTGTCCATGTTTTATTTATCTTGCAGGCTGTCTGTTCAGGGAGCAGATACATCAATTGATTTGCCTTGGCTTTTTCTAACCCATCTCCAGCTTCAGAAAAAAACCAAAACAAGAAGGAAAAATGCTCTCTTAGACTTGGAATGCACAATGTGGACCCTGGTGGTGTTCCATACTGAATAATGGGGTTGTCTGATTTCTGACAGGGGTTGGAGTCAGTGGTCTTGGAGATCTTCTACACAACCTAAATAATTCTGAGTCTGTGAAGAGAATTATCTCAGTTGGGGCAGTTACCAAACACCTTGTTCATAATCATAAATAGTCTGAGAGAGACTAATTAGGCTGAAGCTGTGCAGCTTCCCAGTGTAGTCAGCCTGGCTTGGATTCCACTTCCTCCAGCAAACTTTTCCACTTCCAGACTGCAGTTGAAAGCAAGGAAAAAAAAAATACATTTCTATTGATCTGAGGTAAGAAGCTCTTCCCAGAAAAGAGTAGTAGAGTTCTTATGTGGCCTCCAGAGCAAGTGTGAATGCTGGGAAGTTGAAGAAAGATCAATAAGACTTGCCAGTTTGTTGGATGCTTTTGTCTTGGATCATTATTTATGCTTTCCCTTTGGAACAGAACAAATCACTTCAGGTATTTCTGCATGATTTAACAGTGAGGGTTATTCCTAGAAGACATCACGGTTTTTTCCTTGCCTCCTTCCAGAAGAAAGGTAAAATGGAGCCTTAGCAAAAAGAGTTCACTATATTTTCTGTTTCAGAGTGACATTGTTGTTAAAAAGATGTGGCTTCTTGGAACATATGAACACCCCTCTTGCCTTTTTCCTGATGTTGCTGACTCTACTGTAATTAGATTTCTCAATCTGAATCTCCCTGAAGACTTTTAACAGCATAATGGAGTAGTACAGATTTATTGTGTTTATCTGAGGCTTTGAGTTTTTTTCCTCCTAAAATTTCCTTGGTTTGTAGTTACATAGGAATGGAAACCCTGAAATCACCCAAGTGACTCATTTAATCTTGTTGAATTTATAAGCCTCTCAGTCAAATGAAGAGAGTGTTGTTTTAAGATGTGGAGTTTCATTTTGGATGGAATTTGTTTGGAACTGAGGCTTCCAAATGTCAAATACCTGATTTATAATGGAAATGCACACTTCACACTGTCAGCACTGCAGTCTGACAACATTCTCTGGTGGAAGCAGTGTGGGACTTGGAGATTTGTGCAGTCCCCTGCCTGGGCACAGATCCTCTCATCCTTCACAGAACTGTCAGGCTCTGCCTTAAGATGGTTTTGGGTTTGTTTTCCTTGAATTTCTTCTATTAGAGCTAGTCCAGCACTTCAGTGCACATTTCCCAAAATTGGTTCTGGTTTCTTTTAGCCTAAACATGTCCATGATCAGTTTAGAGCTATTTTTGTTCTACATCCTCCCACCCCCATGTATTTATAGGTAGGACTCATAGCCCTTTCCAGCCTTCATTTCTCTGAGCTGAACAAGCCAAACCTTTAATTCTCCTCACCTGCAATATGCTCTCCATGTCCCCAGCCCTCCCCTGTACCTGCAGCCCTCTCTGCCTGCTCAGTCACTGAGAGCAGCTGCTGTCTCTTCTAGCAGACTCCTCACTCTTCTTTTCTTCCCCTACATTTAACAAAACACATCAAAAGATCCCATTTCTGCCCTGGGACAGCATCATCTCTGAAAATTGAGGAGGTTGGTTCTCATTTCTGCTGAAAGCCATCACCTCAGCTCACCTGCAGCCCTTTGCTATTCAGAGATGAGCTCTTTGCTCTTTTATTGTCTGCCAATAGACACTGCCAATAAACAGCACACTGGAAGTGCTATCAAGGCTGTTCTGGTGCTTATCTACAATAAGGTGAAGGATTACAGGAAAAGAGAAGTTTTGACTTTTTTTCTCCCTGCTAGACCAATGCTGATTGCAAAGTGAATTTTCTTCTGCACTGGAAAGCAGAGGATGCTGTCCTAAGCATCCTCAGTAACTGCAGACCTCTTGCATGGTCCTACAGCTGTTTAGTTGCATAGAAATGTGTCCCTCAAATAAACCCCACTGCAAAATGGGGCTGGCTAATTCTGGCAATTAGTTCTATTTATAATAATAACCTTTAAAGAAGGCTATTTTTTATTTATTTAAAGATGCTCATTATGATCATCTACCATTAAATATTATCTGTGTTTGACTTTCTGGATAAGAGTGTTCAGGAAGAGCACACTAACCATATGACATAGCAGGCTGAATGGAAATATCTGCATTTTTTTCTCTTGAGTTGTTTACAAGGAGCTGTAGAAATTTGATTTGGAGCTCCGTGGCTTTTAATGACAGTTTCTCTCACATAGTTTGATCTTTTGGTTCAATTATTAATCTGTCCTCTGGCAATTAGTTCTATTTATAATAATAGCCTTTAAAGAAGGCTATTATTTATTTAAAGATGCTCATTATGATCATCTACCATTAAATATTATCTGTGTTTGACTTTCTGGATAAGAGTGTTCAGGAAGAGCACACTAACCATATGACATAGCAGGCTGAATGGAAATATCTGCATTTTTTTCTCTTGAGTTGTTTACAAGGAGCTGTAGAAATTTGATTTGGAGCTCCGTGGCTTTTAATGACAGTTTCTCTCACATAGTTTGATCTTTTGGTTCAATTATTAATCTGTCTGGTACTGGAAATCATTGCCAGGGTAACAAATATATTTGATATACACTGAGGGGACTTCTAGCATTATAAATAACTGAGTTTAATTTAATGCCTGCTTTCCATAGTGTTGCATTTCTCAGACCTGGCTGCTTTCTGAGAGTAAATAATGAATAAGGACAGGAAGAAAAAAGCCATTTTCCCTTGCACACTTCATTCCCCAAATTAGTCATCTCTAGCAATCAGATGTGTTTGGTTAGGCTACAATGCTTGGTGGTCAGCTCTTGGAAATTTAGAATTGGTAAAACCACCTTGGAGAGGAGGGAGAGTGCACTGAGGGAGCAAAGATTGCTGTTCCTCTGAAGAGTTGATCAAACCAGTTCTAATGCATTAAAACTAGCAAGTATGAGCTGAATGAACTTCTGCACTGGCTGGAGCCTTCCTTAAATCGATTGGAAGTTTTTATCACCAAGTCAGTGAAGTGGAAAATAGCTTTGCACAGCTGATTTGCATGAGAAGGGCTCTAGAGTGGCTGGTTGGAGGTGCTGCACTTGCTCATTAATTCCCATTTATTGCCTTGTATTGCTACCAGGGTTTGGGAAAATATGGGGAGAAGAGGATCACTGTAATATTTCTCTCATTTATGTGGTTTGGCTTTTTTCCTTTGAGCCCTTATGGTCAAAATAATAACATGAGTATGAATGGAAATGTCTTCCTATTCCATCTGCTGTTATGTTCTCTCTGGTCCTGCCCTTACAGAAAAATGTGTACAACTGCTTCTGAGCCAAAATGTAACTGGCACTAATGAATATAACTTGAAACATGACTGAAAATATTTAGAAAACTTCTAAGTTTGGAAGTAGCACCTACCTCTAACAGTCACCAGGTCAGTCAAAACACTCTGCGAATTCTGTGTATTTATACAGTACCACTGTGCTGCACATTTCACTGCTTGACAGTGTAGTGCTGAACTTTTGTGTTGAGATACACAAAGAAATTGGAGAACACAGCCATTGATTTAAAATCTTTTTTAAATTGCTGGTGACATGTAGATATGAAAGGAAATATTTCCAGAATCAGCTAAACTCAACATTAAATATTTAGATAGCTTCACTCTCAGTATTAGTATGTAGTATTTATTTTCTCCAGCTTCAGTGTACATATCAACCAAAAATAATGCTTTAAAAGGAAGGAAAACATCACCTTGCTGTACTTAAAAGTGGGATGTTTGGTCTGTGGGCTGAGAAGAAGCAGAGACTTCCAAAGTTCAGTTTGAAGAGTTTTAAACAAAACCTGTATGGAAAAGAGTAGAGGCTTCTCCAGCAAATGTACATTTATTTGGAAGCTCTGATTTACTGTTACCATGAATCTCCTGTGGGGTTGCTGGTGAAAGAATAGCAGTGAGGTATCCAGAAATCTTATAATAAAGATTAGTTCATGTTTGGAAATCATTAATCAAGGGCTGTTCTTCTGCTTATTAACCTCCTGGTGAAATTCTACCTTGGAAAGTTGGAAAGAAAGCCTGTCTGATACAATGCACTTCTGACAGTACATTGTTTTTTTGCTCTTGGATGATAGAAATCAATCAATCAATCCCTCCTCTAATGATGGAAACAATAGAACTAATAAACATGACATGCTAGTCTTGTAGTGTGTGTGTAAACACAAGAGAATAGACTAATAAAGAGATAATTCCTAGAAAATGGTGTTCTTGGTTTAGAAAGACCTCTTTATTAAATACATGAAAAACTGAAAATCAGAAAAACCCACCAGATCCATCTGCTCAATTAGCTGTGCTCTGCAGAGATATGATCAAGAATTTGTTAAATTTTGGTAACTTTTGCTTCCCCACAGGTGACCTATGGCTCTTTTGACTACACTTCTCTGCTCTATCTCTCTGACTACTCCAAGGACTTTGGGGGTGGACGCTTCGTGTTCATGGATGCAGATTCCAACAGGACTGTGGAGCCCCGAGCAGGTAGGAGCCAGGCTGCCTGCAGCTTGTGCCATTTATTGGCTTTGCTGGTGTGGGACTGTTTTTGTCAGCAGGAATAGCATGGGGTGGTGTAGCATTCTGTGCTCAGGTTGATGACATCAAAAGTGAAGATTAAAACAGGTTAAAATACAGGTACAGTTTGTCATGTCTGGTGTTAAGCCAGAAGTGACTTTCTGGAAAGCTGTAGGGCTTAGAAGAGGTGACCAGTTCTGACAGCTTAGCAGGTCACTGTGTGTGGGAACTAATAATAATAGTAATAATTTTGCATGATTAGCTCTAAGACATTTACAACATAGTGTAGCTAAAGCTGATAGGCCAAAAACCACTTATAGAATATTGTAATTAGGAAATAGTTTCTGATTGTGGTAGCGTGAATTATAACATCTGTATTATCTCACCCTTCTCATGAGACTGAAAATAGAATAAAAGTTTTTAAAACACCTCTCAGTTGCCCCATCTCTGAGTCAAAATGAGCTTAGTCTGACAACTGTGCAGCAAGAGCAGAGCTAACTGTCACTGCAGCAAATCCAAATTAAAGCACTTTATTTTAGACTGGCCTGAAATTCCTTTGCTGCTCAAGGTGGGGCTTAATACCCTGTGATGGCTGAGGGTGGGTGTGAGGGTGATGGATTGCCACAGCTCTGCTGCCTGCTGGAGCATGAGGAACCATGATTACTTGGGTGTAAATCCATCCCTGCTTCCAGGAGGTCTGACAGGATGAGCCTTCTGATAGCTGTCAGTTATAAATAAATAAAAACCCTTTAAGGCTCGTTTGAGATTTTTAATATGTGGATAATTTGAAACTAGAATTACTCTGGGGCTGCCTAGAGAGGAGCTCAGCCTCAACTCATCTGGCAGGTGAGTGCTGAGCTTCCAGCAGTGTTCCTTTCATAATGCAAAATCAGCCACACTGCTGCAGGGAAAAAGGAAAAAAAAAGACAACTTTATATTCCTGCTGTGTTCTGTGGGTTTTTTTCCCAAGAGAGAAAAGATGGAAATTTAGTCATTTAAAGAGCCTCAGTAATTGTCTGCTGACTGTTGTTACCCCAAGCAGAACTGACTTCAGACTATTGCTGCCTGCAAATTGGGATGGGTGTTCTTTGAATTCTGGATCATGGTGATCCACTCACCTGCAGTGATTTAGATTAACTCTGAGATTACCTGGGTGTGCTAGCAAGAACTGTATGTTTGATTATTTTGTCTTTTATGATTGGAAGTAAACCCTAAATTGAAAGCTTCATCTTTTGCAAAATGCTGCTGCCAAAGGGAGCACATTAAACTATTTTTCAGATGCAGTTCTAAGATTACCAGATCTTTGTCACTGTAGAAATCCCAACTGGATTCTAGGTGTGTGGGGAGAGCTGTCTCACCTGGCTGCAGTGTGCAACATGCCCCTGACTTTATTTCCAAAAGTCTCTAACTGTGAAATTGCTTCCATTCAGCCCCATCTATTCATTTTCAGGCTTTCTGCTGCAAGATCTTTGCCCTTGATGTTGTTTTGGGGCAAGAAGGGGAAGCTGATGAAATACAGAATTTTCTTTTTGGCTGTCCCTTTGCCAGGGGGTTGTGTGGGCAGTGTGTGCCACAGGACACCCCTTCTGAGACAAAACAATGCACAGCTCCTCAGGAATAGCACAAATGGACACAGGAGAAAATTAATTACAGTTTTCTAACACATCTCTGTTATCACAGTTGTTAGGGCTCCTCTGATTGTGTCACAGCCTCTGACATCCTGTGTGCAAAGGACAAAGGCTTGAGAGGTGAAGCACAGTGTGAAGGCATTTGCACTTATTTTTCCTCTTGCTGACAAAATGTGTTTTGTGAAGGAATGGCCCCAAGCTGTTTTCTGTTGCTGGTACAAATTGATGTATTTTTCATGTTCATAATGTTCCTCTGCAATGTTTTTTCTCTCCTTCTGTCTTTTTGGCTTTTCTTTGTTTGTTTTGTTTTATGCTGCTTTTGATCCTTTGTGCTTCTCTTGCCACTCCAACTCAACTTTTAAAACCACATGTTGATGAGCTTTCATGCTTCTCATTTAGGAGCTCCAGGCTTTCCTAGGGATGACTGTCATAATCACTGGTTCAGTTTTTGAGTTGACAACTAATTTACTTTTCTGTATTGCTAATGCCACTGCATCCTAAAACCTGGTACTTGTCTCACACTTAGCCTGCATTTCTGGGGCCTGATTCTGAGTGCCAAAATGAGCAGGTTTCTTTTCCTGTGAGCAGCAATTTGTTCAAGTGTCAGTGGGGAGCAGAAAGGCATTGTTAGTGATGCAGCAGAGCAGAAAAGAAGTGATTGGAAATAGAAGAAAAAAGCAATTAAACCATTGTGGGATGTCCTGTGTTTGAAAGTGCTGCCTGGGCAGGTCCCAGTGCTGCTGCAGATGCATTTGCAGCCCTGCACTGGAGAGGATCTGTCAGCCAGGCAGCTGGGACAGGCAGAACTGTTCTGCCAGGAGGGGAGCCCAAGTTAAAATGTTTTTCACTTCCCTCAGTGTGTATCACTTGCAGATCACCTAAGAAGTCTCTAAGTCCTGACTTTCACATATTTGACTAAACGACTCTCTAATTTGTGGGGTGATCTTTAACATCCCCTAGTTTGGTTGATAGCAAACATTAGCTTTAAGAAGGAATTGTGATTTATTAACGTTGAGGCTTTTCAGATTATTTTTTTTTAACAGAAATGAACAAGTCAGCACCAGTTCAAGTGTACAGACCTTTGGCTAATTCATAACCAGACATGGCATGAAGGAACACATCTTTCTTATGCTCTGATGGGCTGCAGAATGAATATTTGTCTTTTGACATCAGTCAGGACCTCTCTCTGCCACAAGAAACTCACTGTACTATAAGGAAGAAAATTCTTAGTGCCGAGGGATATACAACTTTGAAAATAATTTTTTTTTGTGATTAAGAAACAGATCTACAGTATTATCCGTTTCTTTTAAATATACATGGAAATTCTGTTTCCAAAATTGTCATACTGGGTTTTTTCCACCCCTTTGCACCAGGATTGGCTCTGTTTGAGAGACTGTAAGAAACAGAGCAACATTTTGAAAATGAGGCCCTGCAGAACTAAGCCCTTTCAATATTAACTCTTCTTGCTGGTCTGAGACATGCTTTAGTAATCTGCAAGACATAAGGAGGAATAAGAATAAATGGCAAACATCAAGGCTTTCCTTTTTCAGTCACAAAATTGGTATACTTTATTCTGCTGCTAAACTTGTTAGCATTTAAAATTTCATATTTTAAAATTTCATACTTAGAATTTCATCATTTTGCAGAGTCTTGTGTGAATTTGGGGTCTGGCAATATTAGGCAGTTTCCAGACTTTACTTAATCATAAAGTGTAGATGAAACTGCTGTTTGGGAATGAAATCCCAGGACTGGTTCTGTGTTCTTTATTTGCATGTGCATTTCTTGGTTTGAAGGTCAGCTTTGCTGCACTTATTTTCAGCTTACAAGGGAATTTGTTCTTCCTACAAGTAATTTATTACACAAAGGCAGAAGGAAAGGTCACCATCACTTCTGTGTGTTTCTGGGAGAAACTAATCTGTGGGGCAAAATGAATTCTGTACGCTGGAGAGTGCAGTGTGACTCTTTAATCTCAGACTGAGTCTGTTCTCACTTAGTATTTCTGGAAGTGTAAAATATTTGATTTGAGGGTATAAGATATTTGGTAACTCCCCCCATAGAGACAGTCTCATCTTTCTCTGTATTCAATCCACGTCCTCCAGATTCAGTCTAGATCATGATAATCTGCCAATTCTAGATTTAGTTTTGCTCCAATCAGTAAAAAACTGCAGCACATCTTGGAATTAAATCAATATCAGCTGAAAGCTGAGAATAATTTTTTAAAAATCCACAGAAGTAGCTGTCAGTCTTGGTGAAGAAGAAATGGAGGCAGCATTAGCAGCTGCAGCAAAACTCATCACAAATTGTGCCAGGGACTGGTGAGATGATTGCAAAGAGTGGTAGGAAAAGGAGAATCTATTGCAGTCTTTTTGACAAAAAATCCTTATTTCTCAATCGAACTTGCTTTTGGTTTTGTTACCTGTGGAAGAATAACTTCTCCCAGGCAGGTTTTAGATTCTGCTGGTGTTTGATGCCAGGTTAATGAAAAAACCACTATTTTAACTGGCAACAAAGCAATGAGTACCTGGGAGTGCAGGTGTTATTTGTGGTGTTTCTGTGAGTGACCTCTGATAAATCCACTGCCTTGTGAGGCAGCTGTCACATTTCCTGCAGCACTGGGAGGATGGAGGAATGCTGGGGAATTGTCCTGTGCTGGTGTTGCTGGTAGGAGAGAAGCAGGCAGGGATTCTGAAAATCCAGCAGCTGATAGCTGAAAATGTTTGTGTACTTTTAGCAAGAAATAAATAAGTTCATTCATTTTCTTTAAAAACTGGAATCTGGAAGATTTCCAGGCCCTCCTGAATTCAAAGTAGAAGCAACTACTTTTCTGAGATAATTGTTAATACTGCAAATTACAGATTGGCTGTGGGAGACTTCACTGTGTGAACCAGTGATTTTATTTACAGCAAGAATTTCTGTCTAGTAACTAAATATGGGACAAGTTTGTAACTAGGATTTGATACCCGTTGCAGATTGTTTTATTATATTTATTTAAAATAAATTTATTTTAAAATTTAGACATTTTTGAACTTTATTAAAATTAATTTATTTAAAAATTATTGTATTTATTTAATATATTTTAAATTTAATTTTATTCTTCTGTGCTTGACATAAATGTAGCAAAATGGTTCAGAGAAGCTTGAGCCCTCTCTTCTGGGTGCCTTCTCCACCCCAGATCAGGGCACTTGCAGACATTGTCAGTCCAGGTTCCTTTTGTGGGATTTGCTTAAAGCACTTAAATTCTCCCAATTCAACATTTTAAAATAAGCAATTGAATTAGTTAAATAAATTTCATTGTGTGCTTGCAGAAAACATTATTACCAGTTGATTTGCCTAATGATGTGATGGGATTTCTTGGACACTCTACATGAGAATGAACTGGTGATTAATCCTAAACAGACGCCGAGGATGAGAACTGTTGTGCATTTTCCCTGGCAGTGCTCCTGTCTGGCTGTCACTCAGCAGCTGAGATGCAGTTTTTCCCTCTTTCCTGAGGAACATTTAGAGCTGATAAATGTTAGGCAGAGAGTGGAAGCTGTCAGTGCATGAGATGAAAGATGCTGAATAGATCTGTGGTGCCAAATAAACTGTTCCTGCTTCCCTTTAACCAGACAGAGGAATTGCTTCACAGAATTCGTGGAATTCACAGAATCACTGGGTTGGAAGAGAGCTTCAAGATCATCAAGTCCAACCCAGCCCCAACTGCTCAACTAAACCCTGGCACCCAGTGCCACATCCAGGCTTTGTTAAACACACCCAGGGATGGTGACTGCACCACCTCCCCGGGCAGCCATTCCAGAACTTTATCACCCTTTCTGTAAAAAACTTCTTCCTGATATCCAACCTGGATTTCCCTTGGACTGTGTGCTCTCGTTGTGTCAGTTCCTGGAGACAGAGCCCAGTCCCAGCTGAGCACAGGCACCTTTCAGGAGCTGTGCAGAGTGATGAGGGCACCCTGATGGTGCCAGCTGTGGCCTGCAGTGTCCCCAAGCAGGGTGGTGATGGTCAGGGCTTGGGGCAAGCACACCACTGAGCACTTGTATCTATAAAAGAACTGCCAAGCCAGTGCATGGATGGAATGGCTCTTTGTAAGGAGAGTGAATTTGTGCAGGGCGTGACTTTGTACCTGCCCGAGTGGGAGTGATCAGAGCAGGCACAGAAAGCCACAGCAAACACTTGGTGCAATGCTGGTATCTGCCAAACCTGCAGAGGTTTTGTCACTGAAGGCTTTTTGCCACCTCTGGTGCTTCCTCCTTTGGTCTAAAATCAGAGCCAGGACTGGAAGAGGAGCAGGGAGGAAATCAGTACACTTTGCTGACAGTCACTGGAGTTGCACTTTTTTGTTTTTAATTGAGGCAACTAAGAACTGGCTGCCATGTTCTTGGCTTCCTCTTCCCTTTTATGAAGTAGCTTTGGTGGGATTCTGTGGCAGCAGCTCTCTGGTGAGAGAGAAACACACAACTTTCCCAGGCATTGCCTGAGAAAGTCTATGAGAAGATCAGAGAAAAGAATGAGAAACAATTCTTCACTTGCTGCCACCTGTTGTTGTGAACATGTGGAATGTGTTATGGAGATTTGATTACCAAAGGGTGGTTTCTTAATTAGCCAGTGGTGATGGTGTTTGGATTGGAGGACCAATCAAGTCTACCTGTATCATGTCTATAAAAACAAGGGGTTTCTTAATAAAGACAGAGATTGATCAGCCTTCTGTGAATCAATGCTAATTATTACCCAGCTGGGGTGTGCTGTGATGATGGGATTCCATCTCCAGCTTGGTGGCACAAAGGATGAATGTATGTTTTGAAGGGTAAAAAGTGTCAGGGTGCAGTGTCATCCCGTAGCGGTTTGTCTGGGATCACCGGTGGGCTCCCAGCAGGACCCAGACAGCAGCAGGGCTGTGGAGGCAGAGCTGCAGCTGATGGCAAACTCCACTGATGTGTTCTACCCTTGTCTTTGCAGGCCGGGTGTCGTTCTTCACCTCGGGCTCGGAGAACCTGCACCGGGTGGAGCGGGTGCGCTGGGGCACGCGCTTCGCCGTCACCATCTCCTTCAGCTGCGACCCGCAGCACGGCATCGCCGACCCGCTGCTGCCCTGACCGCCCCGCAGGGCTGCTCTGGGGGGAGAGAGGGGGAAACCAGCTCCTGCCACCACACACGCAGTCAGAGCTGCCCAGCCCTGGGATCACACCGTCACACCTTGGTTTTTATGGCTCCTTTTCCATCGGCGTCGCAAATGGAGGCTTAAGGACCATCCTGAGTTTGATGATTCTGAAAATGGTTTGTCTTCATGTGCCAAGGGAACAGGCTGCAGAGAAGAGAGAACAGGCTCCACAAAGAAGAGAATGGGCTCCACAAAGAAGAGAGGAACAGGCTCCACAAAGAAGAGAGAACAGGCTCCACAAATAAGAGAGAATGGGCACCACAAATAAGAGAGAACGGGCTCCAGAAAGAAGGGAGAACAGGCTCCACAAAGAAGGGAGAATGGGCTCCACAAAGAAGAGAATGGGCTCCACAAAGAAAAGACAATGGGCACCACAAATAAGAGAGAACAGGCTCCACAAAGAAGAAACAATGAGCTCCACAAACAAACAAGAATGTGATAAATAACCACATCGATCTGGTTTATTACCTGAGTGTATAATTTCTGTGAAACACTGAAAATCTGGGAATGTGCTTTGATTTTTTTAAAATTTTATGCATAGAGTTTGGACTTTATAATGTACTCTTTTATGGAAATAATAAATACTGGGGGGAATTATATTGAAGATCAATATAAAGAGGAATAAGAGGACACTTGGACTTGTGAGGGCTCTCATTGGGCACACAGCAAGATTAGTCCTCTGTAATTTCATTTCTTTGTTCTGAAACCTGAAAAAGTCTTCCTTGTCTGTACTAACAAGGGAGAATTGTTAAATTGGCTGGATGCAAGAAAATATTAAAGTCACTTGAGTTTCATATTGAAATACTTGTCTTAAAGCCTGTTTATTCCAAGGAATTTGCATTACACCATGTTTTAAGTCTGTGTGAAAGCAGACCAAGATCATCAACAGCTTTAGTGGATTGAACTTGATTAAAATGTAGATTTAAATGAGATTTAAATGCAGGGCTTTTCTCTCCAGATAACCTGATAGGAGTCTGAGCATGAATGACCCTGTGCTTGCTGGTTACTCCTGTCATGCCAGCTGTGAGTGGCACTTCTGGAGCTGCCCTCTGTCAAACCCTGCTCAACAAGATCATCTCAGCCCATGGGGAAATCTCAGCCCATCTCCTCTTGGATTTTCATCTTCTGAAGATCCTGTGTCCTGCAATAACTGCAGCCCGTGGTGCATCTCCTGCTGGAGCTGATGGGTGTTCAGAAATCAAATCAAGCTAGTTTTTGTCTTTTGGAGCCTTGAAGCCTCAGTAATCTGGGCAATATGGTGACCAAACCTGTCACCTGTGATTTGTTGGGAAATGGTGCACTGGGCACGGTGGGAGAGCTCTTCTTTGCAAAAAAGCCAAATATTTTGTATGTTTTAGTGCCACTGAGCTTCTTCTATTTAGAGCTTCAATATCCAGACTGCTAAAAGCAATGCCTAGATCTAGGGAGAATTTAAATGGCAAATGAGGAAGTAAAGTGCAATCTAAAAGTTTGTGGAGGTGGCCTCCAGCAGGAAGCAGTAATTGCAGAATGTTCCTGGGGCAGAGTGGAATTTGAATTCACTGCTTAATAGGAACATACTTGGTTGAATTTATTTCAGGCCACTTAAATACCCTGAATAACTTTTTATTAAGGGTCTCTCCAGATAATGACATGAAATATATTAATTTTTGTGCTTTTTTGAGGCTCAACTGCCTGTGGCTACTGGGAACTGCAGGGCTCTGATTCTTAGAACTCTGCTCCAAAGGTAGGATTTCTTCAAGTAATGAAGGAATATTCAAGTAGCATCAATCTGATGCCAAACTGCTGCAGAGGAGTGCTCTTAATTGAACAGAGGTGATGACAGAAGGTGGCTGGATGTGTCCCAGCTGGTGAGGACCTTTCTGAAGAGCCCTTGCAGTGGAAACAAAGTCAAAAAGGGTCAGTGCTGGTGGTAAAATTACAGCTTTGCACCTGAAAGCAGACTTGCTACAAGTGTCTGGGAATGCTGGGGTGTATTTGGAAAGGAAATGACTTGAAAGAAAAGGGAAAGTCTGCTGGTGTGAAAAGTCCCAGAGTAAAATAGAAAATGCAGCAGGAGAGCAGGCCAGATTTGCCTTCCTACATGAGACTGAGTGAAGCCTCCTGAGGACTTCTGTGAAGCTGGACTACTTTTAAAACCACATTTCCATTCAAATGTTTTGTGGAATATCAGGAACTTTTGAAAAATTGGCAGGTTTTGTGGCCACATTAGGTTTTTAGTGTACACCTACCTTTCAGTCCTGTAGCATGCATTAAATTTAATTTTTTTTTATCCCCTGTGATTCTAGGAACTCTAGGTGGACTTCTTGGCATTTCTCATGGATAACATTTTAATTCTGTAAGCAGCTGTGGAGTCATTGTGGCTTTTACTTCCTTCTAAGTCAACTGCAGGTTTAGGAAGTTGATTTATGTTGAGATTTTCCTGAACATGTATCATCCTCCTGAAATATTCTGCACTCCATCTCAATTTCAAGTCCAGAAATGTTTACAAGGATACCCTATTTACAAAAAAAGATTTAAATTTGGATTTATAGCAGAAATTCAACTTCCTATTCCTTTATTAACAAACCACAGCAGCCCCTCCACCCCCTCAAAAAAACCAGTGAGTTCTTGAGCCATGATTTTTCTGTTCAGACACCTTGAGGATTTGTCTCTTTCTTGTTCCTCAGTTTATACAATTATTTTAAGCTGTTTATATAGATGCCTGGACACTTTGCTGCTGACTCCACAGAAAAAAATCTTGCTGTTTTCTTTTGAGAGAGCTTTTCCCTGCCAGGGGAAGGTCTCTGGGTGGATTCCTACCTTGGAGGTGACCTCCTCAGCATATTAACTTGCCAGCCAGGCCATTAAATCTTGTGGGAATAAACAAAGGCAGCTCCTAATGGAGTCATTCTGCATGTCTTGGCTCAGGGTGGTGGTTTCTTCCATTCCCTCTAGCAGGGAATCGTGTTTATTTCTGATTTATGTTCCTGAAGAGCAGAGGTGTTCTGGGCGTCCTCCTCCCTGCATAATGGGGTTTTAATTTTAATTGTGGTTCACTGAATAACCTTGTAAAAAGAAGGCCACGTTTTACCAGGTGAATCAAAACTTAAAAGATTGCTCTGGAAGAAAAACTCTGAGCCCATTTAGTGCCCACACTTCTCAACACAAAAGAAATGAGAGAAGTGATCGTGGATTATTTCTACTTTGCTACGGGCCATAAATGTGTGTTTTCTTGGTTTCTTTATATTAAGGGAAAATAGGAATTAATTTGAGAGTCATTCCTTTCCACAGGGATGAATGTGATCAAAATAAACTTTGACTAGCAGGGAAAAAGCAATTCTGGAGAAGCCACCAAGCAGGGGGGAAGTTAAATTTCAGATGGTGTTAGGCAGAGAGCAGCTACAGGAGATTCTTCCCACACTGGTGTGTCTGTGGCACTTTGACATTTTCTCCTCCTCCTCACTCTGCTTTATTGTTTCATTAGATCAGACAACTGGAAACTGGGAGCTTTCAGGCAGCAAAGCCCTTCCTATTCAAACCTTTTACAAAATTTTCAGTAGGACCTCTTGATAACCATTTGCTTCAGCTGTTTATCCTGTCCATCCTCTGTTTGAATTATTAATGAACAGAGAATGTGCTAAAATAAGTTAAATGATTCTGCATCCAGCTATTTAAAAAATGATGGATTATGCTTTCTTCTGCATTTATCTTTTGTATCAAATGGGCATTTTTTAAGTGATGGTGTCCTCCATACATAGCTTGTATCTGTTGCACCTGTTCTGGAACTGGACAGAATTTAGATCTGTAAATAAGAAATAATCCAAGAAGAAATTGAAACTGAATTAATAAATATACAGAAGTGTACAGAAAGTTTCCCTTTGGGACCAAAAAAAGGGGGTTGAAAATTTGTGGGTTTTGGAGTTTGTAAGAAAAAACAGAACAAAAATAATAAAAATAATTGATTTATTAATCCATTAGTGGGGCTGTAGGGGAATGTGCACCTGCTCCTCAGTACCTGGAAACCCAGTCCTCTCCCTGCCCATTTTCCCTTCCTAGGCACACATTTTGGTGGAGATCTTCATCCCTTCAGACCACGAGCAGGAAAAACCTCCTTCCTCTGCCTCAGCAGCAGCACAAGGCTGTTATTAACAGGCGTTTAAATGGGATTTACACCTGTGGATGTCTCGGGAAGGCTGTGCCCACCTGAGCACTGCCCAGCTGCCAGCAACCTGAGACCTCTTCACTTTGTTTTTTAATGCCTTTAGCACCTCCAGATGGGTGTGAGTCAGTGAATTCCAGCGCTGCAAAAATTATCACCTTCAATGCAAGTTAAACACGTTTTGACTCTTTTGCTAATTTTTTTACTTAAGGCTTTGGAGCAGACTGCTCAAACTTGTTCTCTTCCTAATCATTCTCCTTAAATGAGATACTTCAGCCATAAAGCATGCACAAAAGGGCAGTAATCAAAACCCTTTCCATAGCTGAGTTGTACAGGAAGATATTTCTGAGATGTTCAGGTCTAAATTAATGATTCTGTCCTCTGGTCAGGCCAGGTTTGTGATTTGCAGGGTCTGGGCAAGGCAGAAATGAAGATGTTTGATGGCCCAGCTGCCCTGGAGTGGGAGGTGTAATAATTCTGTAATTGTGGTGCACTGATAAAGGTTTCTGGTTTAAATTTACAAACACGACAGGGTCATTAGGAACTGCCACGGCCTCTTGTTAGACTGTCTGACAGAACAAAAAACCAGAAATCTTTGAGCCTTAAAGCCGTGTTGATAATGAATGAAACTGAGGGAGTGAGTCAGCGGATCAATTAGCTTGAAAAGCAGATATCAGTGTCTGCCTGTCCCCTGACCAGGGTTAGTGACCCCTGCTTTTATTTCCTTCTGGCTGTGGAGGGATGTGGAGCTGGGAGAAGGTTCAGTCCCTGCTCCTGACATCCACAGCTTCCCCCCACGAGCTGCTGAGGGCTTGTTTGTACTGCAGAGGAGACAAAGGATATTCCAAATCGTTTAAATTAATAAGATTTCAGTTCTCTAATAGCAACACCTGCTTGCTGAATGCATTCTGAGTAGCCCAGCTGCACCAGACTGTATCCCTCAGGAGACACGGATTTTCCAGTGGTGTCCGTGGCCCTGGAAGGGGAGGACAGCACATCTGAGCCAGCTTTAGTCATGGAGCATGCCAGGGGTTCGTGTTTGTATCAGTGTGACA